CTCTACTGATCTTCAAACCCAAAAAATAAAATTTTTGTCTTTTTTGCCCCTCTCCTGTTCATCGAACAACACCAAATACTATAATATAGTAATACTGCTTTTTTTTTATCTATATTAATTGCCATTAACAAACTACAGTTTCAAAAAAAAATTTGTATCAGGTACTGTGCACTTTTGTGCTGCTGTCCTTCCAAAAATCTTGAAGCTCTTTAACCATGTTAACCATCAAACAATTCAAAACAGATATAGAATACACGATTGAAACATGGACAAAAAATAGCCCCACTCATACAGTTTCGTATGGCTCTGAAATACATTGATGGGAGCGGGAGCGGGTATAAAGCGGAAACAACCCTTATCGAAACCATATGAGGCAAACTAAAAACATTATCGAACAAATCAATAAACTGACCTCTTGAAGCACAAAATCGCTCACCGGTCTTCTTTCCAGATATCTTGGAGTCACCCACGATCTTCTGCAGTAATCCCTAACTATCTCTGTTTTGGAACTCTCTGAGTGGCAGAGAATAGAATAACGTGCGTATCTCTTTATTCTTAGCGTTTTGCAATCTTATATTAAAAAACCTCTCTTCGATAGGAAGATATTTTTTTAATATAAAATAAATTAAATAAAAAATTATTTAATTAAATTAAAACTGAATAATTTATCTATTATTTAATACACCCTTAACTTTCCAAATAATTAGGGCACTACAGGGACCTCAGGAATAAAATAAATCAGGCTACTAATTATAATAATAACCTATGTAGACCAACATATTCTTATTATAATTAATCATGAATTATTCCACTCTTATTCCACTAAAAATGATGAACTGAACATCCTTTTTATTTTACTATCCACAACATAATAAAATAATGTTCCCCATGTTAAGATTACAGATGCTGTCATTTAAATAACTTACTGACAATTTATTTAAATCACAATATAACTTTATGTTTCTGAGTTATTTCATGTGTCGGATTCAAAATCCACCTGCAGGGTTTACACTATGAAACCTTATAAGCTTACTTAAAGTGCATCATCAATCTCTAAACCGAGACATTGATTCTATCATTAATTAATATTTCACAAACACAAAAAGCTTTGCCCAATTCACCGAGAATATTATTCCAATAATGAAACTCATCCTTTAATGAATCAAAGCATAAGACAATCAATGTTTGCTCATATTAAAATAAATCAAGATTAAGAACAATAAACATTATTTCTAATGTCTTAGAGAATATGTTTAACAGTCATTACTAAATGCATCCAAACCTCAGATTCATTGGAATCCGGTATCAGAATTGGTTGTGTATTTCTTTTTTAAGCTATGTTTCCATTCTAATAACATTTTATTTAATGCCAAACTTTTCCAATTAAATACCAAAGAAATAATTGTCAATAGAAAATCATTCATAGCTATATTTCCAATTAAATACAAAGAAATAATTGTCAATAGAAAATCATTCATAGCTATACTATTAATTATGCATGGTTAATAGTATATCTCTATCACATGCTTCATATCATATGTAACTTACTATATGTGTCCTGCACGAATATATAAATTATAAACAATAATAACAAATTAGAGGAATATTCCCTTTTATCTCCGTCTAAATTCTGATTAGGAGAAATTAATTAAGTGCCCGTATTTAATTTTCTACCTCTACTTCAATAATTTCTGTTGAAGTTTAATTCTGTAATGTACAAATCAGCTCATGTTGTGTCAGATAATAATCAAACAATTGACCTTTTATTTAAGTGATCTGAATCAGTTTCACTCAGATTAACGGTCATTTTCTAATTCGGTTTAGTTAATAATAAACAATTGATATTAAAATTCAGAAATTAAAAAGCATCCTTAAAATTTGATATTTACTATATAATCAACTTTTTATTTATAAAGGTTGTTGCATATAATTTGCTAGTTTAAGGGATACAGTCAGGCTTTCTTTTACATTTTCCCCCTTCTCTGTCGACACCAATCAATCAAACGGTGGTAAAAAAGCAAAGGAGAAGAAGATTCCCACCTTTAAAAGAGAAAAAAAAAAAAAAATTAAAAAAAAAAAATTACTAGGCAGCCCCCAAACCCTTTAAATTAAAAAAAAAAAAAAAAATTACTAGGCAGCCCAAACCATTTGAAAGTGGAGAGAGATGGGTTTATTCCAGCTTAGCACGCAAGGAGAAAGAGGCTACTAAAAATGATTGTTAAGATTAATGTTAGCAACAGCTTTTTAAGTAATTTTTTAAAATGTAAAATGTTATTTTTTACGGTGTTCAGTGACATAATATTTAAATTAATTTTTAAAAGTTAAAAATAGTATTTTATAAAAAATTAATTCGTATATTTTTATAATTTTTAATGTTTTATGAAAATTTACTAAAGCAGCTACTGAAACAATCAATTTTACTTAATATATTAGATATTATGTGGTGTTGGTTGTTTTTGGCTTTTATATTTGCTGGATCATATGTATAATGTAAAATGTCATAGTTAATATCATCAATAAATAGGGTCCACCCAAATTCATCCTAGTCCAATCCTATGGTCAATCATGCTCCTCTTTTCTTATTCAATTTTTTACCGTTTTCATTTTTTTCACTATTCTTTCCTTTTTTTTATTTTTTTTTCTATATATATATAAGAAAAATAACATTTTGATCTTTAAAAAATATAAAAAAATTATATTTGACTTTCTAAGGTTTTAAAAATTTTCATTAGCTCTCTAAATTAATTGTCATAGTTCCGGCCCTACATGATCCTATCCATATTTCTATTGTTTGAATTATTCTCATTAAATTAATAAAAATATCCCAAAGTCAACAATTCTTCTTTCATCAAGCTAGTTTCCCCTAGCTTAACCAAAAGCAGAATATGTTTGAAAGAAAAGTTTAATTTTCATGGTTTGCTAAAATTTAAATAATTATAGTAATAAAAAAAAAATTTATAGTAAGTGTAAGAGATAAGAGGAGATAACATTTAAAAGTATTAAAACTGTTGCATATATATAAAAAATCCAAACTAGCTGACAATTACATAATTATACTACGATTAAATTAAATTGCAAACCAATAATAATTTTTTATTATTATATTCCTTGTTTAGAAGTAGCAATGCTTATTTGTAAAAAAAGAAAAAAAAAGAAAAAAATTATTACTATTTAGTCCCTTTAATTTGGTAAAATTAACTATTTACTTTGTACGTTTCCGAAAATAGATACACAAACCCATTCATATAGTTTATTTTTATTGGATTAATAAGTCATTTTACCCAAAATTTGTAATTTTGTTGTTAATTTTTAACAAAAAGGCTAAAACATCCTTCATTATATTTCTATTGCAATTCTTTATTGTAAAAATAAAAATTATTTTTTAATAATACGAGCAATTACTAAAATAATAAATAGCCAATAACTAAATTGTTAAGAAGATAATATTATTCTTGTCAATTTAGACATATATAGCATAATATTATTCTTGTCAATTTATCGACATATAATATATATATATTATATATATAATATATATATATATATATATATAATATATATAATATATATATGAGCAGGTATTTTCCGCTTTATTAAAATTAACAGTAGAAAAATATACAAACTTGAATGGAAAAATTAAAATTATTCAAACTATTTTAACCAAAAAAAGTCGTTAATGTATTTTTGAAAAGAAAAAAAAATTTCGATTTCACCAAGTCACATAAACATTAAATAATACATTCTTTCCTTAACTAAATATCTGATGGCACTCGGACGTTTGCAACTTTTAAAAATTGAATTATTTGATTGGAAAGGCCCCAATTGAGTTCATTTTACTTATTGGGTTAATCGTATTTTACTATATTACTCTTACCACTTCTTTCTTGAAATATACCTTTTTAGCAAAATCATTTTTTAATTTCAAAAAATCGTACTTCCGACAGCAAAGTTTTTCTTAGACGTTGGATCCAATCCGCCCATTGACGTTCACACGCCATGGCAATTTAAACCACGAAATCACTATTCTATCCAACCGCGCCCAAAAACTCATAACTTACAGGGACATAAAATACAACTTCAGAACCAGGACAAACACTAATATGAGAGTATTTTCGCTTTTATTAAAATTAACAGTAGAAAATATAAAACTTGAATGGAAAAATAAAATTATTCAACTATTTAAACCAAAAAAGTGTTAATGTATTTTTGAAAAGAAAAAAAAAATTGATTTCACCAAGTCACATAAATTAAATAATAATTTTCCTTAATAAATATGATGGCACTCGGGTTGCAATTTTTTAAAATTGAATTATTTGTATTGGAAAGCCCAATTAGTTCATTTTATTATTGGGTTAATGTATTTTACTATTATTACTCTTACCACTTCTTTCTGAAATTATACCTTTTTAGCAAAATCATTTTTTAATTCAAAAATCGTACTTCCGACAGCAAGTTTCTTAGACGTTGGATCAATCGCCATGACGTCACACGCATGAATTTAACCACGAAATCACATTCTCATCCAACGGCCCAAAACTCATACCTTACAGGACATAAAATACAACTTAGAACAGACAAACACTACTCCCCTCCGTAGCCTAGACTTCTTCTTTCTTATTACATAATTTTTAAAACATGTGTTAAGAATGTCCATCACAAGTGTGGAAGCACATCCCTTAATGTGGGACCCACGTTCCCAAGAGTGATGATGATTATTACTGCAAACCGTAATTTCTCAGTTTTCTAGGGGTTAAAAGGTTAAAATAAAAAAAAAGTGAAAAATCGAGAGGTGTGTACTTGTATGTAATTATCATCAAATGGCATCTTCTTATTATTCCAACAGATTTTATGCAATTTATTTTATTTCATTTTTTTAATAATGTCTGAGTTATGACAAATCCCCACAATTAGCGGATAATTACATTTCAATTTTCACTTTTTAACTAAACAAAAAAAAAAAAAACTATATTTATTTCCTTTAATTACATATCTTTTTATTAATTTTCTTTTTTTGTTTTGAGCTTTTTTATCTTTTCTTTTCTTACCTTCTCTTCTTGCTTGTTTCCACATCAGTTTCTTCGATTTGTTGATCTAACTTTTACTCTCTCGATCTTTCCCTTCAATGGCCACTAAAGATCCTAGAGAGAGAAGCATGGAGAGAGAAAGTAAAAAAGCAGAAGCAAAGTGAGTGACTTGATAGTGAATTGTATCAGTTCTTGAGGAATTGATTGCTAAAGCTTCTAACTTTGGAATCACTTTTTCGGCTGTTGGGTTTTGAGTGTTGTATCGAGTTTGAGGTTGGTGGGTCGGGTTTGATTCGTTCGGATTTGATATGGGTGGGTGTTTTCCTTGTTTTGGATCATCAAACAAGGAGGGTGGAAGTGGTGGTGGTAGTGCCGTCAAAGAAGTGGCCAAGAAGGATTCGGTCAAAGATGGTTCAGTTGCTCAGTCTCACCATGTTGGAAGAGTTAGCTCAGGTAAAAGTTCTTTTATGCAAAATATTTTGGTGAATAATTTCTGGGTTCTTTTGAAAGATTAATTTGGCTGCTGTAAGTCTTGAATTTTGCTTTTGAGTGTTTTTGTGCCATGTTTCTGTTAAAATTTGTTGATTCCTTGATCCGTTTCATCTATCTTGTGTTTGAATTGGGATTTTTGTTTTATAGCTTTGGTGCTGCAGTTATTTGAAGGATTTCGTGCTTGCGGATTGCGTGTTGTTTGTGGTGTTTGATTTTATGCTAAGAGAGTGTTTCTAGCATTATTTTAGAGATCTGCTCTTAGTTTTAGGATTCTTATAGTTATTTCAGTGTTCCTTGAATTTTTTTTTTGTTCCTATCATAACTGTCAACCTAATAAATGACTGAATGCTATAATTTGGAAAATTTTAAAATGCCCCTTCCATTGCATAGTATATTGGAAAAGGCTAAGTCAAAAGTTTAAGGAGTTTTTGTGCTTCTTGAAAGAATATGAAATAGGAATCTATTAGGAGTAAATTTGCATTTCATATAAAGCTATATGTCACAGAACAACAAGAAAGGCTTTGAGTACTCAACCCAAATGAGAAATCTGATGACCAGCATCTTGTCATGCATAGGCATTCTTCACAAATAGGCCATTTAATCTGAAGAAGTCATTATTAAACTTAGACACAAGAAACATGAACATGTCCCATTTTATTGCTTACATATATTTTTCGCTCTTGGGGCTGTTCAATTATATTTCATAATCATTTGCTCATAAACTATTTACTTTTTCCCCATTTCAATATTTTGTCTAATGCACTTATCATGCAGATAAATCAAAATTACGAAATGGTACTGATCCTAAGAAGGAGCCAATAATTCCTAAAGATGGACCAACTGCTAATATTGCAGCACAAACATTTACATTCAGAGAGCTTGCTGCTGCAACAAAGAACTTTAGACCAGAGTGTCTGTTAGGTGAAGGGGGGTTTGGACGTGTTTATAAAGGTCGCTTGGAGAGCACTGGACAGGTAATTTGAGACTTGAAATGGATTCCCTTATTATTATGCAATGAAATATGTCAGTGCATGTCGTTTATAGTTGCCTGTACTTTCTGTTGTAATTGCAATTTTTTTGTGTCAGGCTTCTGTATTGTGTATATTTTACCTCTATAAGCACCTTCTATGAACTATAATTCTAAAAAATATGATAACTAAGTTCCATCTTTTATTTCGACTTGAATGGAAAATGTGTTTGCAGGTAGTTGCTGTAAAACAGCTTGATCGGAATGGCCTTCAAGGAAATAGGGAATTTCTAGTGGAGGTGCTCATGCTTAGCCTGCTGCACCATCCAAACCTTGTTAATTTGATTGGTTATTGTGCCGATGGGGATCAACGCCTCTTGGTTTATGAGTTTATGCCACTTGGATCATTAGAGGATCACTTACATGGTTAGACTACCTTACTTAAATATATGATATTGGATGGACCTTTGCTGTTCCCAGTTCAAAATTTCATGTCATAATGCATAACATATAACAGGAATTGTTAAGAAAATGGTTGTTTTGCACTCATATTAGATCTTTATTTTCCCTTTACCAGTCATATGGTTTTGCTAGGGTTTTGTCAGTATTGCAGCAATAACATTCACTCTTTTGAACACAGATCAATTTCTTGTTTATTAAGGCTTGAAAACATACTGTTTAGTCATATTTGTTCTGTTATTTCTTCTCTCTTATTATACATGTAGTTATTATATGTTCTGTGTGGGGGTTTACAATTTGATATATCGAGAATGACTTGGATATGTGAAGGATTTTATGGACCTAAAGATGATTGAAAGTTTATCAAATGCAAAGCAAACTTTATCACTTTAGTGTACCGATTGCTTTAAGAGATTCCTAGGTCAACTGATTGAATGACCACTCGGAGGATAAGTCAATCTTTGAGCTACCATACCTAGGAGTTTTATTTTGTAATTCTCATGGCACGCTGTGGTTAAATGCCATCTAATCACAAAGGTAAGTGATAATTTTGGAGTTCTTTTGAAACTTGGATGGAATTATGGGACACAATTCATGGACTTCCATTTACGGAGTAGCACGATGAAGTAAGGAATTCGGATGTTCTAGTTGTTTCTCCAAAGATATCTCAGTCAGTGTTTCAGTATTCCATTTGTGTGGAATGTGGATATCAGTCGTTGGAAACAGAAGCATTTAAGATAACGTAGGAATAGTCTACTAGTTATGTCTGTCATTTTTTGATGCTGGGCTCAACGTATTGATCTGAAACATGTAAGAATGTAGAATGCAAATAGAAGCAAATAGTGGATATCTGAAAAGAGAATCGGGAGGTATCGCTTCTTATGTGGGAGCAGCTGCATATGTTAATGACTGATGTATGATGCTTACAACAATAGTAAATGTTGATCTGATATGATTATTCGCTTGCATCATATTATGCAACAATTAGATATCTGATAGTAGTTAAGGTTATATAATTTGGCTAGAAGGTAGTTATAGTTAAACCTCACATTCCTATTGGCAATTAAAACTGCTTGATCTTTCAACTGATACTAGGCATTTTGCCTCAGCTTGGATGGGTGAATGTTCTTATCTAAATGAAGCATATTGTGGAGCTGCCATGCTACTTATATATCACTGTGGGCTACTACCTGATCAGATATCTTTTTCTTGGCTCATGTTTCTCCCTCAGTTTGTTCCAAAAATGATGATATGGCTGCAGTTTTATTGATTTCAATCATGCATGTCAAATTGCTGACCGTTTTCAAGGTGGTCAGCTAGAAGAATGTTATATGTAAACCATGATGCCAGTACACATATTTTGCTAATTTTCATGGACTCTGTTACCATGCCACTGTCTACTATGGAGTGTGGACTAAAATTTGAACTTTTTTTTTTTTGTCTAGGAAATTTCCAGTATTATAAGATATCAGACATTTGCACTTCTTTAATTCTAAAAGATTTTAGAGTATCTAACTTCATACTTATATCAAAGCATTCAATGATGCAGCCTCACTTAAGGGGTTTTTCGTCTTTGAATAATGGTTTTAATGGCTCACATGCATATTCTTTCATAAGAGATCTGCTTGTGAATATTAAGATGTGATTAAACCTTCATAATGTTAGTCAACTTGAATTTGTAAGATTTGATGGTATTTTAACTGATATGATTTATGTTGCATGGCTAATATGCTAATTGGAACTTTACAAGCCCCTCTCTCAATATTGTGATGGTTAAGCAGCAGCATGTGATACTTATACTGACATTAGCTTTATAATCGTTGATGAAAAGTAATTGGAAGTAGTATTAGATGATTGATGATACTGCTATGTGAATAAATTACTGTGAGTAGATGAAAGGACTAGAGATAATCATATGAAGACCAAAAGTAAGTAGAAAAGAAGTGATCGAAGGATTGAAGGAAACAGCTCCTAGATGTAACTGAATGGAAAAGGACGGTTTTGCTGCTTAATTTGAAAGTTGATTTAAAGGTTGATAGGTCATTGGGAAAATCTGTTTAGTTTACTAATTGATCATCTTAATAAAGTCTGTTAAAGGTGGTCTCGCTGCTTGTGGTCAAGTATGTCAAGAACTATGGCTGCATGTTCCAAGTACTCACGAGTCACAAGCCAACAGTATGTCTTTGGTTATCAGGCAAGCATGGAAGAAAGAGAACTCCACCTTCTCTAGTAGTCTTTGAAAAAGCACGCCCCAACAACTGACCCACTACTTACTCTCTCTCTCTCTCTCTCTCTCACTACTGCATGTTTCCCTTTGTGAATTTTAGTTCCACTTTTTTATTTTGAGATCAGTGAAATACTGAGTCCTACGGTTGATATAGTTCTTTTGAATACCTGAGCTCTTGATCATATAAATCAATTGTCAATGTCTAAGCTGAGCTGCGCAGCAAGGAAATATAATTAGCTTAAAATATCATAAAACCAACTAGGATGCTTATCTTGTGACACTGGAGATGCTTTTAGTTAACATTATTACATTGAAACTTTACCATCAAAGGTTGAGGATTTTCAATTGCACAGATGGCAATCTGATGTATTCGACTGATATTGCTTTACAAACTTCTCCTGTAATGAATTTGAATGACTTTTTAGAAGTGTGAATTGGTTAACTATGATTTCTTCAACTCATTCTTGTTACTGTATTTTAATCTTGTTTTCAGATCTTCCAGCGGACAAGGAGCCCCTAGACTGGAACACAAGGATGAAGATTGCGGCTGGTGCAGCTAAGGGGTTGGAGTACTTGCATGACAAAGCAAACCCACCCGTCATTTACCGAGACTTGAAATCATCTAACATCCTTCTTGATGAGGGTTACCACCCCAAGCTATCAGATTTTGGACTTGCTAAGTTGGGTCCTGTTGGTGACAAGACTCATGTCTCTACACGCGTGATGGGAACATATGGTTATTGTGCTCCTGAATATGCTATGACTGGTCAACTTACTTTAAAGTCCGATGTCTATAGCTTTGGAGTCGTATTTCTTGAACTTATCACCGGGCGCAAGGCCATTGATAATACCCGGGCTCCTGGAGAGCATAATCTTGTAGCATGGGTAAGCTTTCTGCTCTTCATCTTCCATGGGAAACTCTTTTAATAATGTATTGATGCATATTGGAATTTTCTTTCCTTTTTTTTCCCAAGAAAAAAAAAAAAAATTCTTATGTTGAATTGACATAAAACAAGAATTCTGTTGTCTCCTTGTTATTCTGTTGGACCTGGGGGATTTTTTTAGGCTCGGCCACTTTTCAAGGATCGCAGGAAGTTCCCCAAAATGGCTGACCCACTGCTTCAAGGGCGTTATCCAATGCGAGGGTTATATCAAGCTCTTGCAGTTGCAGCCATGTGCTTACAGGAACAAGCAGCCACGAGGCCTTTGATAGGTGATGTTGTGACTGCTCTCACATATTTGGCTTCCCAGACCTATGACCCTAATGCTGCCAATCAAAGTAACAGAATTGGGCCATCTACTCCTAGGAGCAGGGATGACAGGAGGGGCATGGCAGATGGGCTAGATAGCCCAGACGAACATGGACGCGGACGGCATGGCTCCCCTTCTACTTATAAAAATTCACCTGATTATAGAAGGCGTGATCCTGTGAGGGAATTAAGCTCTGGTGCAGATTTAGGAAGGAGTGAAACTGGTGGTGGGTCTGGCAGGAAATGGGGATCAGATGATTCTGAGAGACAAGATTCCCAGAGAGATAGTCCATTAAATACGAGCAGAGCAAGGGAAACACCAAGAAATCGAGATTTAGATAGAGAGCGTGCAGTTGCAGAGGCAAAAGTTTGGGGTGAAAATTGGAGAGAGAAAAAGCGAGCAAATGCAATGGGTAGCTTCGATGCTACAAATGAGTAAATGGTTCCCATTCATGTTGGTTTGGTGATGGCAAAATATGTTGTATGCTTGCTTTCTGAGGGTCATGAAGAAGAAGAAAAAAAAAAGATTAAAAGTTGCAGATACACCATCCTCGATGTCTTGGTTTCCATGGGAATAAGACTCTTGTTGTAACCAACTTTCACTGCTGTTGTTTTGTCCTGTATCATTCTTGTAGTTGGGATATGAAAATTGAATGCTTCAATTATGTGGTTGAAGGAAGGAAACCCAGAGTTAAAGAAGGGTTCAGGGCAAGGGTTGGGGTTGTGTATGGATTCGGAGGGCATTTTTAAAGGGAAATCCTCACTGCAGAATGATGTATCCAACATGATTTTAAATCTTATGTATTTAGGGCTTTTTTCTTTTTTCTTTTTTCCTTTTTCCTTTCTTGAAGTTGTTGTTACAGGAAAGCAGGGAAGATAGCTAATTTTTGCCCCCATATATGTGGGTTTGGTGTGGGTGTCTCTCATTGGTGTTACATCTTGTACTCAAAATACGGTCTTGTGTATGGATTTCTTGAGTCAGGTCGAGTTTCGGCTTATACAGGAAGTTTTCATCTTTTTCTTCTACTTCTAACGCAGTATCTCCTTCCATTTGCATGATATTCTTTTGGTGGGTGCATTTTCTGTTACTATCTGATTATTCTCACAGATCTAAAACTGATTTAACACTAAAGTTTGGTTTCATTTAATCTTACAAATGTAGAGAGGATAAGATAAAAGAAGCTTTGAAATTTCTTAAAACAGAGGAGCAGTTAGATCAATAATGGTGGTTTCTTAAGCGGAAGAGGACGTCACGCTGTGTAAACCCATAAAGGCATAAAAGGAAAAAGAGCGATCTTGCGTCTTAAACCTCGAACAATAAAAGCCCAGTATTTCATGGGCCCAACATATCCTGAACCCAATCTGTCCGCCCTAGTTCGACGGTCCTGCTCAACTTCAACAAGAGCGTGCGGGAGCGGCCATGGCTTCCACTGGCTCGCTCGCCCTAAATCTAATCCGGAAAATTAGATGCTTAAATCACTAACCGCTTCGCCGGCGTTCTTCGAAGCAAGCTCCTTAACTCGAAGTTATGAATCGCCTCTGTTAATGCTTCCATCAGAGGACATTAAAACCAAAGACGACAAAACCACTGCCGGAAAACAACAAAAGGAGGTAAAATTACAGCTTGGAGCATCAAAGAAATTTCACCCAAGTTGGGTCTTTGCCAGTTCAACGTTTCTCTTATAGTTGGCGGTTGTGGTGCGAAGATTTGCCATTTTAGAGATCAATTCTCACTATTAGAATGGAAATCAAAAATCACAGAGCCTTTATCTTTAATATAGTAATTACTAGTATAATTATTATAATTATCACTAGTATTTTACTTTTAATAGTATTATAATATAATATAATTATAATTATAAACTTTGAATAATACTATTTATAATTTCTTTAGGAATCTCATATTTAAACAAAATTGTCACCCTCCTGGGGTGGTACGACTCCTTTGGTGTGACGTATAAGGGGTGGCTTGGCCTCTATGAAACGCTTATGTCTTATTTCTTTCTCTGGAGTTTTTCTCTTATTCTGTATCCCCAAAATGAAAAAAATAAATAAATTGAATACAGTTTTCGCCAATGACAGGAATTTCAGACTTGAAGCCACAATTCACTAAATACTCAAAGGCAAATTAATAATATAATCATTACAAAACGTACCCTTAATACAACACTAACCTTAAATAAATACATAGAATTTTGTTAGTTCATACTCTAAACAAGCTCTAATCTCATCCATATGTTGCAGATAAATTGATTCTGACCCTGAGTGAACAAAAATAAGGGGATACAGAACATTATCAGTGGGATACTTCTGATGCACTGAAATACCAGAAATTTCGGCACCTGTGCTCTGATAATAAAAAAAATTAAAATTAAAAAAAAATAATAATAATAGGCCTGTGCCAAATTACTTTCTCCTCTTTCCCTGCAAAAAAAAGTAATAAAAGTTCAGCTAATCAATTCACCCAGAAAAGCAAATTAACTGCGGCTACTTACTGAGGTCACATAATCATCCATTGATAATTGCTTTCGTTTTTTTAGTGAAGTGGGACTCTCAGTTTGCCTTCCCATAGCACGCTTCGATGGTGTCATGTTCTGAGCAATAAGATCGTTTGGTTAACACAGCATGTATGGAATTAAGACAACAAAATACTAGGATTGTGTAGGTGCATGTGTTAGATGATGAAGGTTAGAAAGATGATGAAGGTTATAAAGAGCACCTTTGCGAGCTTCTTCTCTTTCCGTGCCTGTCTCTCTCTCTCATCATATTCTTGGTTTTCCTTTTCCACCAACCGAATTAGGGTATCACATCTCCTTGCTAGTTCTTGAGTTGTGCGAGACTTCACAAACCAGTCAAAGCGGAACAAAGGCGATGTACGGAATGCAGCCTTTAACTCATCCCAATTCCCATAACCAAGCTTGTGAACCATGCAAATCTGCAGGTTGTAATAGAAAAGCTTTCACATCAATGTATGTCTAATATTTGAAAAAAAAAAAAAGCTGGGGGAGAGAGAAAGAGAAGGGGGAAGGACTCATATCAGAGAAATGTATCGATAAAGAATTTGCACCATGAAACGATCACATTCTTCATTGTACAGCTTCCCTTTGTTCTGACCATACTGGATCTTCAATTCAAGCCATGGATTCTTGTAGCGATCCAATTTCTTGCCAATTGCTTTCATGATCTCATCCTTGCGGGAAATTCTAGCCTCTCCTCTCTCAATATTTTTAATGATCCTATCGTAGTCTGTGGCCATTCCATGATTCAGACAAGAAAAAAGAAAAATATTAGTCACTGTTAAGATCCAATGAAAAGCAAATTCAAATCATCCAAAATTTCATCCGAAAAGAGTTTGTTCAACTTAAGCTAGAATATAATAAAATTTGACATCACAGTTACCATTCAACTCTTTATATCGCTCTTTAAAAACTTTAGCATATCTTTCAACTTCCTCCTCTGTTTTTCCTTCCATTTCAGAAGCAATACTTTTTATGTCATTCCGACCATACTTCTCACAAGCCCTAATGAAGGTATTGAAGTCTCTTCTGCTCCATGAAGAGAACCCCTGAAATTATGCATTAAAAGCATCAGTCGATAGGTCCATAATACAAACAAAACTTGAACTAGATACTCCACTCACCTCCTCCAACAGTCGCTCCTTTTCTTCCAATTCTTCAGCAGTCAAAGGTTCTCCAACCTCTAAACAATCAACAATCAGTCAGCTGTATGTGAAATGATGCAAGGAACAAACATAATTAGGGACCTTATAAAAGAACATACCTTCAGGTTCATCCACATCAATTGTGTCTTTCAACTGATTCTTTTGATGGGTTTGCTGAAATATTGTTTTAAGAAAAAAAAAACGACAAACATTTTGCATATAAGATAAGAACAAATTTTTGAACATATCAACAAGGTGATGAAGAAACCAGAAAATAAACTCAAGAAAAGAAAGATGGCACTCACCATGAGGTAGCGTACTTCTTTTTCATACAACTCGCTCAATCTTTGTGTGTTGAAAAACTGGAAATCATGCCTGAAAAAGGAAGCAAATATTCAAGCCACAAGAAATGAGAATTCAAACCCACTACAAAGAGCAAGCAAGAAGTTTAAGAAATGCTTACAATTGAGGCATGCGGGGAATTCGAGGCTCTTTTGGCTTTGCTGGGCCACCTTGGCGCATTGTTTGCTTAAAGTATTCAGATTCAGAGTAACTGGTCAAAGAAAGAGTAAAAACAAAAAGAGTTCATGGATAATGCTAAAATGATACATGCAAACTTAAAAACACGACCAGAAGGGGGAAAGGGGCAGAGAAGAGCAGTACTTGCGCTTTCTTTCTCTCTTCGGCGGTTCAATCCAGTTCTCACTGACAATCTTCTTGAAGTCAAACTTGTTCTCATCCTTCATGAGAACCAACAAGAGCAGGGTCACAAAAATGATCTCAAAACAATACTAATGAAATGAAACTACCAATCAATGACAAAGGATAAAAAACATAGAGAGAAGGAAAGGGATGGAAATTGAGTCCGCACTGTCTATACCTTATCATCATCAAAATCATATAATTCAGCAGCTGCCAAAAACCAGGAAAAAATCAGCAATTAAAATGCTGACGTCGCATGGTGATTGAAAAATTAAATAAATGAATGAAGTGACCAAGAATAAACTAGTGAAAGAAATCATTGATGCACATACTGTCATCCATTTTGAATTTTATGGCATCTTCTGTGAACTTCTTCATCTTGGCATCAAGCTCTGCTGTTGCCTCTTCTCCTTTAGCAATAATTCTATCAATGTCTTCATCTGTAATTGTGCTGTCCTTTGAGCTGAAAACCATCTCAGCACCAAACCTCACCATTTGAAGCAGCTCATCTTTATTGACAGCTGTAAGAAACAAAAAAAAGCATCAAGTATTGCCCACGAAAACATAAACCATAATTCTGCTCAGGGTCAACGTAAAAATGCTGCTTACTTTTCTGCTCTGCTAACCGTCCTTGTTGAATCACTAAAGCATCAAGTGCAAGCTTCTTATAAGCCCTTTCAATAACTTTTTCCTCGATGGTATACTGTTACATAATCAATAAAAATGAGAAATATAATTGAAACAGCTTAGCTTCAGTTATGGCACAACAAAATAAATGCCAACCTCTGTGCAAAATCTGAATACTTGAACTTCTTTCTTTTGACCAATCCTATGAGCACGATCTTGTGCTTGCAAATCCACTTGTGGATTCCTGCAACAAATTCTCAACATCATAAAAAAAGAGCAGCAGCAGACAGCAGAAAAAGAAAAAGAAAAAAAAAAACTCACCAATCACTGTCATAAAGTATAACAACGTCTGCAGTAGCAAGATTAATCCCAAGTCCTCCAGCTCTAGTAGACAACAAGAAGACAAATTTCTCACTCCCCGGTTTGTTGAAGGCATCAATGGAAGCATCACGATCCTCTCCACCAGTATTCCCATCAATTCGACAATACTGATAGCCGCGAAACATTAAGTAGTCTTCAAGAATGTCAAGTAATCTAGTCATCTGCATTTTAAAACAAAATTCAACAACACATGGATAAATAAGAAGTTGTTCAACGGTAATATTAAGAATAATGACTAATAAACATAGAAAATACAGACTAAAAGATACTGAACTAATATTTTAAGGACCCTAGTTGATCAGCATTTACAACAAACTCACCTGTGAAAATATCAAAACCCTGGAATCCCTCTCTTTTAGCTTAGGAAGCAACTTATCCAAGAGAACCATCTTACCTGGAAAATAATGATTTCCATCACTAATTATCATATAGACACCAACAAAATCATCAAACGCTGTGAAGCTTACCAGCATTAGTAATAAGATGATCTCCTGTTGTATATGGCGGACCAGGCTCAGCACCCTGGAAAAGATAAGGATGATTACAGCATTTACGAAGCTGCATTGCTATATTCAGAAGACGTTTCCGTTCTCCACCAGCATTGACAACTTCAAGATCTTTCTGCAGTAAAGCCCTATAATACTGTTTCTGCATCTGGGACATGCCCACCTTCAGTATGGTTTCCTTCTTTGGAGGCAAACCTTTCTCGACATCTGATTTCAGTCTTCGCAGAAGAAATGGCCGAAGAACCTTAAAGACGAAGATTCCACAAAAACAATTAACGAATTTGCAAGCAGAAACCTTACAACTCAACAGTATCAAGGTAACATGCCTACCTTGTGTAGTTGTTGTACAACCTCCTGCTGGTCATTTTCACCAGAAATTTGGAACCATTCATCAAAAGTTTCAGCTGAGCTAAAAATCTCTGGCAGTAAGAAGTTCAGAAGAGACCAAAGTTCGTGAAGATTGTTCTGCACACCGGAAAATACAATGAGAATGGTACACTGAACAAGAAAAGTATCTATTTGGTATGGCTAGGTTGAATAGGATTAGAAGATAACTCGTGAATATAGAAAGGAAAACTCAATAGCAGTCTAATGTCTGCATTTTGTATCTGAATCAAGTTCAGCCTCAGCAATTCCTCCTCAGAAACCCAAGTTAACAAGTTAAAATTTTGTTGATAAAAGCATTAAGAACGGAACATTTAACAAGTTTTCTCAAACACCAACTTTACAAATTTCCACATTATTAGAGTCAAATGCATACCTGAAGAGGAGTACCAGTAATGAGGAGACGATAATTGGTATTATAAAGTCTCATTGTTTTTGAAAGAAGAGAATTTTCATTCTTAATTCGATGGGCTTCATCAATGATTATGTAGCGCCAGCTAAAGCGACGCAAAGAAGACTTCTCTTTGATTGCCATTTCAAAACTTGTAACACAGATATCAAACTTGCCCGCAACCAACAATTCCTCACGTATATGTTTCTGCCAGAAACAAGAAATCAGCAGAACGTTAGAACTGCAAAACCACAGGAACTTTTTACCAACCAAAACATAATTTGAGAAACCCAAAAATATGTGAAACAAAGAATTACTCACTAAAGCCTAATTTTATTGGCTTACCCTTTCATCAGGATTGCCAAGAAACTTCACAGCACGCAAAACTGGACAAAACCGACGAATTTCATTCATCCAATTACCAAGTGTAGACTTTGGAGCAACTACCATATGAGGACCAGTTATTCCTCTAAACTCATGCAGGTAGCCCATTAAGGAGATCGTTTGTAAAGTTTTACCAAGACCCTGTATTGCAAATAAAGCATTTATTGATATAGCATAAAATACAGTTAAGTACAAACATATTCATGTATGACATAATAGAACAAACTAAAATGCACGGATGTATAAGTGCTGATTTAGGATATCTTAAGATATTAGGCTACCATAAAACCAACATAAACAACATTGCTGGGATGCATACCATTTCATCTGCAAGGATTCCATTTATACCATTCTCATAGAGTCTTATAAGCCAGTTTAACCCCGCTAGTTGGTAATCCCTCATCTTTCCCTGAATACCTGCAGAAAGCAAAAGGCATAATATAATTAAAAATAATAATTTCTACCTTTGCTACATTTAAAATACATAAACATCAGCTCAAATTTAAATTCCTCGAGTTAAAGAGAATCTCTCACTAGCCAGACACCCATTCAACTAACATTAGTTAAGTGTTGGCTAACATTTGATTAAAATGCCTCGTAAGTAATATTTAGACCATTAGACAAAAGAATATAGATCCAATTCTAAATAGGGATCATTTAATTTTTTCTTGAAAAGGCAAACTGCAAATGCACATGCATAAATAGAAAAGTCAAGATAGAGCATTTACATGAGGGTTGTGCAACCAGGCGTGTGTTTCCTGCCCCAGACAAACCATCTTCTTCCTCCTTGAGATATTCTTCATCTTCTTCCTCTTCAGTTAATTTGGATGCATGCCGACCCCTAAAGGTAAGTTAACGAAGAAGTCATCATGAGCACATATAGATTATTTAAATGCATTTACATGTTAGTATGTGGGTGCACTCTCTAACAAGCATATAAAAACAATTTAAAGCATAAGGCAGGCTACCTACCCAAATAAATAACCAAAAAAAAAAAGATGCCTTACATCCAAACTTTTCTTTTCTTTTCTTTTTCTTTTTCTTTTTTTCTTTTTGCAAGTTTAGCATGCTGAGTATGTGGGTGCACTCGCTAACAAGCATATAATAAAAGACAATCTTAAAGGCATAAGAGGCTATCACCTACCTCAAAAATACACTCCAAAAAAAAATGACGCTACATTCCAACTTTTCTTTTCTTTGTCCCTTTTTCTTTTTCTATTTTTCTTTTTTCTTTTTTTTTTTTTTTTTTTTTTATAAGAGTAATAATCAGAAACCAAGGTACCAAAGTCCTGGTCGATGAGGAGAAATTTATCTAAGATCAATACCAAAGTTCCCATAGTCTATGGCATTTATTTGAAATATTGGTTATACGTTTTCATGGAAACTCTGGCAGCAACAATGAAATAGCTTCGAAAGATAGTGAATACAACCAGATTTTTTTTTTTTTTTTTTTTTTTTTTTTTTTTTTTTTTTTTATAAGAGTAATAATCAGAACCAAGGTACCAAATCCTGGTCATGAGAAATTTAGCTAATATCAAATACCAAGTTCCCTATAGTCTATGGATTTATGAGATATTTTTATACAGTCAGAACTCTGCATCAACAATGAAATATTCGAAAATAGTGAATACAACAACACATGATTATCTGAATGTTTAATAATCAAACAGGAAAGTGCTTCCAATACGCAAAAATAGACATTTTTTACTTGAAGGTATCAAAAAGTATTGAATTAGACGACCACGAAATAATTGCCCTAGAGGAAGATCAAACAAAACAGTGTTGAACTAGTTAAGCACCAAAACTTATACCTTCCCTTTGCTTTTTTCTGGGATGTAGATTGATCAGGTTTGGCAAAATGAGCAAATAACTCAGTTTGCTGCAGCAAATACTTCAAGCGCCCCTTTCCTTTATTGTTCTGCCATTTGACCAAAAGTCAGCAAACTTATATAAAAAGTTCCACACATACTCCAAGCAAAAAGTATGTTTTGAGTAGCAGTAAGTAAACACACCATATCTGCATCTATAGCTGCATTTTGTGCGTCCAATATTTCCTGAATCTTCTGTTTCTTCATCTTCTGCATTTCTTTTAGTCTTTCCTTTTCGCGCTTGCTAATTTCATTGTTGTTTTCATCCTGCAGACCAAGACATGCGAGGAAATTGTTTAAAAAAGATGTCGTACACCAAAATAATGCAACTCAATTAACTTAGATGTATGAGTAATAGCAAAAAGGCAAAACAAAAACACACGTAGAAGACATGAAAGGGCAATCTATAATCCAATGCAATACTCCTCTTATTCAACTCCTCCAGCAGCGTAAGATTTCTCAATTTTTAGGTGCAAAATAAAGAACCCAACAGGGAGAACTTCTTCTTTTTCTTTCCCTTACTTTAATGGGAGGCAGCAAAACTATAGAAATTAAGCCTACCAAGCATATACCTCCACATATTTTCAAGCCTGATAGAAATAAATTCACGTATAAAAACGAAGTTCATCCCTATTTTTCTTCAATTTCAACTGTGACCTAGCAAATGCTCATCCAAAACCGAAACCTAGACTATCAAACTTCAGAATTTTTCATAAAGCAATGTCATCTGCAATAAACTGAACTAACAATGGCCAGCATAATCTCATAAATTACCTCTTCAACGTCTTCACCGTCAGCGTTGACGTCGTCCCCAGTAGCATCTGCTGCTTCTTCATCATCGGAATCAGCAGAACGAGCCACGGCTTCAAGCTCCTCCTCGTCTTCCTCCTCGATCTGTTCGTTGATTTGCTGCTCCGACGACGAACTGGATGAGTTGGATAGCGCCTCATCAGATGATGCCGGTTGCTTCGAGGTTTTGGCCATGGTGTTTGCTTGCCTTCCCCTGAGATCGAGGGTTTCTTTTTCCCGAGAGAAAAATGGAAGAGTTTAAATTGGAAGCGACTTTCTAATAAAAATGAGGAGTAAAGAGGGATTTGGTACTACGTGTGAGATTTTATATCTTAGTATATTTATGTTTGGATAGATTCTATAAAACAAAATTGGGCTCATGCCGGTTTAAGTCGGGTCAGGGCTCAGAAGTGAAATGCTATTTCCCGCCTTTTGTTGTAGCGGAAATGTGATTTCCCGCCTTGGTCGTGGTTCGGTTGTCCAGTGTCTGGGTGGTTCGGTCTCGTGGTCAGACTGGAGATTTGTGAGCCTGGGTTTGGCTTGGGTGCTTCTAGGTTCGATGGTTTTATGGCAACTATTAAAAGTTTCTTATAATTTGTTTTTGAAATACATAAATTTGAAATTAAGCATAAATGGTTTTATATTTAGGCTATGTTGAGCAATACTTTTTTAAGTAATTTTTAGCATTTTGATCGATTAAAACTTTATACGCTAGTGTTCAGTATTTTTATAAAAACTAACTCATATAACTATTCAAATAGCTAACAGCTAAATTTTATTAAAAATAGCCAGCAATTAGCAAAACAGCTAATTTTGATGAACAGACCCTTAATCATCATTTCCAATTTTTATAATAAAATTTCTTATTAATTGTTCAAAATGCTAGAAATATGAAATTAAAGATAAATGGTTTTATATCTCCAATTTTAATTAACTAAAATCAAAACACTAAAAGGAGAAAACAATTATTGAATAGGGCCTGAAACAAGATGTTAAATATTAATTTTCAACGTTTAACCTAAGCGGGCCCGATAATAATGTTTCATCTTTTGGCCCAACAAATAGTCAAGCTGACAAGCTATATGGGCTTTTATAATCCATCCCACCCATAAACATATTTTGACTGTTACGTAACGGATAGTTAGGAAGAGCCGTGGGAGGGCTGTCTGCAACTGCTGTTGCAACGATGCGACTGGAGGATGACGACGTCAACTGACAGTTGGGGATGGACTTTGTGTCTTCACCTTCAGAGTCAGAGGCCCACGCCGAGTCACGTGCAATCCTCACCCCAAAATCTAAGGATTAACACGTGGCAACAGAAGTTAATACCAGCATAACAGTCAAAAAAAAAAAAAAGATTAAGAATATAGGATATCCACCCGAATAATATTAAATTATTAATAGAAAAAGAAAAAGGAAAATTAGAGAGGAAGGAGTACGATAGACGCGATCCACCTAATCAAAATCCCATCTTTAGATCAAACCCCAACCAAACATCTGCCGTTCTAACACGTTACAGCAAGGAAAGACTCACTTTACAACAATACCCTCACAAAACGGTTCAGATGCCTATTAAAACAGGAGGGCTGTGCAGGTAAGAAATATAAAGCCAGCAAACGCAATTTTATTTTCTTTCCAGTTTCTAATTTCTACTTCCCTTACTCCACGTTTCCTTTTCATATCAATTATTTCCCTCTCCTTTATCATCATGTCAATGTAGTCTATCCAACGACCTGTATGTGTTTATATACAGCAGGACTTGAAAGGGACAGTTGCAAATCAATCGGTGCTGTACAGCCGCCGGAGGGAAAACCAACTCGTGCCTCATATCGGAGTTGTGAGATCTGTGGCCTTACCGCAGCAGATTCACTTCGGTATCATTACATAAGTTTTGTAAGTTTTTAGATTGAAATTTGCTTTAATTTGTGTAATTAATTGATGTTGTTGGTTCGCTGATGCAGAATATGCGGCACGGAAGGCGTTTGATATTAGCAATTCTTTTTGTTTGTCTATTTGGATTCTCCTGTTCAAGAGGTGATTTTTCATAATTTTTCATTAATTACAAAAAAATTATCATTATTCTTGTGAGTTAGTTGTGTAGGGTTTAGCTTAAGAAATATGATTTCGAGTAATTTCTTGAATGAGCTAAATATTGCTAACTGGAAAAAAAATTTATATTTTCACTCTTAATCTGAGGATTGAATGCTTTTTGCTATGAATTTTTTGTTTAGCTTTGATGGAGGGAACAGGGTTTTTGTAATTAAAGAGATTGGTATAATTGTGTATTTTTGGCATGGGGCACTGGTATTTGCAACTTGAAAAGTGAAAAAAAAAAAGTTAGGCTTTTTTTTTCTTCTTTCCCCCAGTAAGCTGAGTAAGTTGAGGAAGGAAATGTGATGATTGGAAGTTAAATTTTGTTGCTCAATATACAGATCTTCCCTTTTTCCTGTTTTAGGAAAGTGATGTTGCATATTTATTATGTCTTTTTTACATGAATGCTTGTATGTAATTTCTGTCAATGTAAGATAACATGTATTTGTGTTGTAGGAGAATGAGGTTGTGGACAGTTTAACATATATTCATAGTATGAAATGTTATAATACAATACCAACAACTAATAGCTGGAGACGGCTATATGAATCCTTTATTTTCAATATCCATTGTGATCAAGTTAATAGCAATGCAAAGCAAAGTGTGAGTTGGAAAAAATTTTGAAATACTTTTTGTAGACAAAAGTATAAAATCATGTGATATATTGATAAATAGAACAAAGTACAAGATAGGCAAGACCAATTAACTGGGTTTTGCTATATGAAATTCTATAATAAATTTTAAAAAGTTTTGATTCTCTCTACTGCAGAACTCAAGGTCAAAACCAAGCGTATAGATCATCGTCCCATTTACAATCATACCCTTGCTACAATATTAGTGGAATATGCTTCTGCAGTAAGTTCCTTACAGCACCGAATTTGAAACCATGTATTGGGATATGTTCTCTTATTCCTATGCCATTATATCATTCCTGCTGCATAACTTTTAATTGTGGAAAGGTTCAATAAAACTTTTCTGGTGATGGAACAAGCTTTTAACTTGCAGGTTTATATGTCAGATTTGACAGAATTGTTTTCTTGGACATGCTCAAGATGTGATGACTTAACAAAGGTACTCGGGATGATCTAATGTTAATTTTCTCGATTATCTGGCGCAGTTAGGTACTTCAATATTTATCTTAGCTGGGTTGACATGCTTTTGAGATTTGAATGAAACAGGGATTTGAGATAATAGAGCTGATTGTTGACATTCAGCACTGCTTACAGGTGCATTTTCGTTGGCTCTTATGCAAATTAATTTACACTGTGTGAACCTTTGCTTTCTCTTACTAACACACACCCGCCACTCGCGTGCGTTTGTTCACACACACACACATATAAATTCCATGTACTGACATCATTTTGGCTATCTCTAACAGTCATTTGTTGGTGTGGCCAAGAATCTTAATGCTATAGTTATTGCATTTCGAGGAACTCAGGAACACAGGTAGGCATTTCACGTTCTGGTGCTTGTTGTTTTATGCAAGTTTATGGGCATGGACTGATATAGCAGAACAGATAATAGTTTTAGTCTACCTTCTCATGAAATTAGACTAATGTGGAGATTATATTATGCCTGGTTCATTGCTTCCTAATGGATTCACTGCATTTCTGCAGCATACAGAATTGGGTTGAAGACTTATTCTGGAAACAACTTGATCTAAACTACCCTGGCATGCCTGATGCAATGGTGTGTATTGCAGAAAAGTTTTTCTGAAAGGACAATTAGTTCTGGTTTTCAGTGAATACTTATAATCCTTTCTCCATTGCACTGTTTCAGGTGCACCATGGATTTTATTCTGCTTATCATAATACAACATTACGCCCTGGAATTCTAAATGCTGTCAAAAGAGCAAAGGATTATTATGGAGATCTTGACATCATGGTGACAGGGCATTCAATGGGAGGGGCTATGGCTTCCTTTTGTGGACTTGATCTAACAGTAATCACAATGAACCTATTCTTGATACAGTTGAAATCATGTTTATATTTAGTTTGTGGCCCTTCTAGATTATTGGGATTTTCGTCCATAATATATTATAACTTATTCTGCAACCCTACTTTTTGATGAACAGAAGTTGTATTAAATGAATATTTGTTTATTCTCAGGTTAACCATGAAGCCAAGAATGTTCTGGTTATGACCTTTGGACAACCTCGCATTGGCAATGCTGTCTTTGCATCTTACTATAGCCGACTCGTGCCAAACAGTATCCGCATCACAAATAACCATGATATTGTACCTCATTTGCCTCCATACTATAGTTATTTCCCTCAAAAGACATACCACCATTTCCCAAGAGAGGTAAATTTTCCATATTTAGGTGATCAATGACTCTTGATATTGGTACTTATGCATCTGAATTTTGGAATTAAAATAAGATATTCAGTTTTTGCTACTGCAATGTCTTTTTTGAACTTGCTAATTACTTCAAATTTTGTAAGTACCACACATGGGGATAATTTTATCCTGGTGAATGTTTGCCATTTGTTATGACAAAATGGATGATGGTTATTAATAATGGGCCTCGTGGGTAATGCATATGTTGACAATATTCTCCTTCAATAACTTGGCATATCTTATTCTCTTGAGTATTTTGGGAACCACTTCTATCCAACCATGAAGTCTTTATTGTCTTTTTTTTTCAATTCTATAAAATAGTGAGAGCTTCGTCTTCAATTTCAGGTGTGGCTGTATAGCATTGGATTGGGAAGTCTGGTCTATAATGTGGAGAAGGTCTGTGATGGTTCTGGTGAAGACCCAGCTTGTAGCAGGTGAGTCTTTCCTTTTTGCATGTTTTTGTGACAAAGCACCTAACTAATTTAAATTTCAGATGATATTCAGGTGATGTGGATAGCAATAAATTCTTAAAAATGCACATTTGAATGCTTAAAGTTATTAACACCTAGCCCTAGAAGACAAGGCTTTTAGAACTATTTACTATGCCTGATACTGGGACCAATAGATAAATCTCTTGTGCATTTTGCAGGTCAGTAAGTGGAACCAGCATTTCAGATCATTTAAATTATTATGGCATTGATTTAATGGGAGAAACATGGAGATCTTGTGGGATTGTGATGGATTCTTTTGTGAAGGAATATGGCAAAACAGATCTGGATGGAAATTTTGCTTTATCCAGAAATCCTGCGACTCCTATTCTGAAACTGAAAACAGAGGTGGATGATGGAGGTAACCGTGTTTAGAACATTAGTCAGGATCAGGATTGATTTCTGATGTGGATTTTCTTACCAACCAGAGATAATATTCTTTATCTGTTTGGAGTTCATCTGGGAAGATTTAGCTTGTGAATACTGTTGTAAGCCTGGTTGGAGAGGGAAAATTGTGTACAGAAGTTAACATGTACAGTTTCAACTTTGTAATATCTTAAAATAATACCCTATTGTTGAAACCATCTCTAAGTTGGAAATTACACATGTATTCTGTTGTAAGTTCTGAAATATGAGTTGGTTGGGTGTGATCATTTCATTGGTGCTTTTGGACTTGCAATTGATGAATTGATTCTCAAATCTGACATACTGATTCCAAATGGCAGAATTCTTTAATCAAATAAGTATAACGTTCGTTTTAGGTCTTCTTTCCCTGTTCTGAAATAGTACATTACCAAACTTTTCTATGTTATTTCATAATCGATTGAAAATGGAAGTAATAGTAGAGATCTGTTAGAATTGAAGGTGGTCAAAGTTCCTGATTTTAGTTGAAAAAGGGAATGGAAAGGATGAAAAAAATGACAAGGCTAGAATAAAATTTTAGTTCTAACCTCCAAGCAATATACTAATTACTCTGCTTGGGCTAAATCAAATTCAGTAAATAATTTATTGATACAAGGAAATGTTTTGATTGGCTAAGCAAGCAATTAACTTGATAAACAAAGGTGGTATCACATGACTTGACAAGCTTCATTTTATTTAAGTAGTTCCTTCAAGTTGCCTTCAGATCCTGGCTTGGTGAAACTGCCAATGGAGGTCCATTCTCGGACAATGTGTTTTACTGGTTTTAATTTTGTGTTTCTTATTCGTTCTTCTTCTGTTACAATAGATATTATAACTATCAAAGAGCAAAAAGGATCTGCTTCATTATGTTACAGTTTCGAATTATGTTTCCTGCATTTGATTGTTGACCCACTCGTATTATAAACTTGAACTGTTAAGCCATGAAAATAGCTTGCCTATTGCACTGTAATGGCTGTGGATTATAATTCGCCCGTTACAAACAGATGATAATAAAATCAATGATTCAGTTTGATAATCAAGCAATTAACTTGATAAACAAGGGTAATTAGTGATATAACAAGAACAAGCTTTCTTTTATTTAAATAGTTCCTTTAAGCTGCCTTCCGATCCTTGCTTGGTGAACTGTCAATGCCTCCTGCATAAAGAATACTACTTTTCAAATTTATTTTCTTTTTTACACAGAGAACAATTACAGTAGATTTAAATAGATAACAGATAGAAAAAAGTTACCTCACGAGTCATATGTTGTACAGCAGGGATTGCAACTTCTGCTTCAATACTTATACCTGCAGCTTTTGCTTCCTTGTCCATATCCTCTTCCTTCACAGTTGCAGAAGATTCTGTCCATAAATAAACTAATCAAGCTTAGGTAAACCATCTTTAAAAATAAAATTCCAAAGAAAGTTATATTTACAAACCGTTTTGAGTTTCTTGTACCAATTTGTCCTCCACTACATCATCTAATTTAACAGAATCATTGAAAAAGCTTTCTTTGCCAGATTCAACCCGGGGAGAGAAAAATTCAGACTTTCCTTCTGATGCAGAAGACCCATCAACATCTTCTTCTCTTCTTGATGAAAAAAATCGATTTGGCGATTCTTTAGAAATCAATCTTCCTGTTTCTTGATTTTCTTCAATAATACCACCATATTCTTTCTTTATTTCTTTTCCTCCTTTCAATTCTTTATTTTCAGTTATTTCCTTTTCTTCTGCAACTGCACTTACATTACCATCATTCCTTATGCATTTGCTTTCTTCTCGTTTAACCACCACCGATGAACCTTCCTTGCCTGTCCCATTGACAGTTGTAATGTCTTTGCTTCTACGGCTTCCGGCATTGGATTTTTCACGGGTTATGGTGTTTTCTACGGCAACAGCATGTTTGGATTCTCCACAACCCATTTTCTGTCAATGATATTGGAAGGGAAGAGTTAAGGACAATGGGAATACTCTCTCCCTAATTTCCCTTTCTTACTGAGGGAGAGAGATAAGAGATCATTAATTGCTGCCTGTGTGTTTTATAATTCTGGTTTGGTTTTGGAAGACAGAGTTTCATTGGTGTAATTTGGTGTGTACAGTTTTTTCTGTTGTGTTTTGGAGGTTGAGATGAATCTATTGGCATTTGGCAGCTTAATATATACATGAAGGTTTATTTTTAGGCATTATATTCGACTTGTTTTAGTCTTGTGTTTTATTGTATTGTAATGGTAATGGGCCAAACTTGGCCCGTTACAAAATCTACAACCCACAAAATCTGGCTCTGACCCAGGCCCAGGCCCATTTAGATCTTTAGTTTTCTTTTTGGTCCGTAATGCATGAAACTAACATTTAAAAAAAAAGGGCAACTTGCAGTTTGGGCAGATGCAAATCTACCATTGCATGAAACTCTAGGCATGAACATTAACTGATCCTTTCTTATAGACGCATCCATCCACACTTGGTGACGTCACATTAATGAACCTTTTTCATTATTTCATATACTAATATAATAGAATAATATTTTTAGAACTCCATATTTATTTTTTAATCCAAGAATTCATGGACCATAAGTGGATTGAATAGAGAATTTAAAAAATAAAATAAAATAAAATACATGTTAAATTAGACTAAAATCAATTTGTATGGAAGTTTGGTCAAAATTGATTGAGGGATTTTAATTTTAAATCAAACCAAAATTGAAGGGTCATGTCTAATTTTTAACTTTTACCTAGAATAATTCAAAATCAAATTAAACTTGATTTTGATAAAAAGAAAACATAAAAATAAAAAATTATTTTGTTGAAATTATACCAAAACCGAAATTTGTGTTGAAATTGATGGGTTGACAATCTATGCGAAGCCATAATAATTGATTTAATTTTAGTTCGAGTTTAAGTTTTATTGATTTAAAACTATTTAGGATGTGATCGACAATAGCTTTTTAAGTAGCTGTTAGCATTTTGAAACTCTATTTTTTATAATATTTAGTAATATAGCGTTTGAATTAATTTATTATTTCATATACTAATATAATAGAATAATATTTTTAGAACTCCATATTTATTTTTTAATCCAAGAATTCATGGACCATAAGTGGATTGAATAGAGAATTTAAAAAATAAAATAAAATAAAATACATGTTAAATTAGACTAAAATCAATTTGTATGGAAGTTTGGTCAAAATTGATTGAGGGATTTTAATTTTAAATCAAACCAAAATTGAAGGGTCATGTCTAATTTTTAACTTTTACCTAGAATAATTCAAAATCAAATTAAACTTGATTTTGATAAAAAGAAAACATAAAAATAAAAAATTATTTTGTTGAAATTATACCAAAACCGAAATTTGTGTTGAAATTGATGGGTTGACAATCTATGCGAAGCCATAATAATTGATTTAATTTTAGTTCGAGTTTAAGTTTTATTGATTTAAAACTATTTAGGATGTGATCGACAATAGCTTTTTAAGTAGCTGTTAGCATTTTGAAACTCTATTTTTTATAATATTTAGTAATATAGCGTTTGAATTAATTTATAGAGATTAATATAGCGTTGTGTGAAAAATTAACTTACGTAACGTTTAACGCTTAGTGTTCTTTGAAAAGTTAATCAAATAGGTAACGGTTAAACGCTATTAAAACAGTTAATAACTGTCAAAACAATTAACTTTATAGAACAAACCCTTGTTCATTAAATCCGCATCTATTAAATAAGGGAGAAAAAAAAAAGAATTTAATAGGGAAAAAGAAATTGGACAAATAGAGTATGGAATTGGGTAGCCATGAATGACTCTTGCCTAATTTGGGTATGGGAAGTTGTCATTCATGTTCATCAGTTACTTTCCACATTTTAGGCATGTGCATTAGAAAATCGAAGCTTTAAAAAGGAAATGTCGGTGGTTGCTGCAATTATTGATGTTCCACGATAAATTAAATAATCTATTTTTACATATATGTAAATTTTTTTATAATTATTCTTCTTTAAAAATTCAGTTGATATATTTTAAGACGTTCAATTAGTTTAATTAATATGATTAATTTATTCAGATACAGTCAAATAAGCTGTCTGCAAAGACAAATCAACCCCACAAGGAGAATGGATTGGTACTTACTTCTCGTTTTATTAGATACTATATTACCCCCACCTTTCCCGGGAACGAAAGGGATTCGTTTAGTCTTATAAGTGTTTGTAGAAATGCGCAAACAAGAAACAATTAGTGCTTTTTTCACATTAGTTGTACTGATCTTCTTTTTTCCAATTCGCGCATATAACGGCGCCTGTCTCTTTCCCCTCAAGTCACTTAACAGCATCTGCCACCCCACTCTCACAGTCTCACCTTATCCTCTCTCTCTCTCTCTCCTCCTAGTGGGCTTACATGCGTTGGTAAATGCCATTGGAAATTAACGACTGGTGCTTGGATTTTCTTTTTCTTTTTCTTTTTCTTTTTTTATTAATTTGTCTGCGTTAAAAAATAGAATGAGATTGTACAAATGATGGGACCTTCACTTTCACTCTTTTGAGGATTTGGACAAAGCTAACGAAAGCAACCCAATCCTTCTCAAATCAGGAAACTGCTATCTTCGCCTTAAGCCTTCCTTGTTCTACGTTCCCTCCGCAAATCTATCAATTTGCCATTTCTCTCCTAAATTAATGGAAGGCACAGCCCCATCCAATGGACGTCTTGATTTTGGGAAGATGGGTTATGGGTAAAAACTTTTCTTTTTTTTTTTTTTTTCCCTTCTTTTCTTTCTCTGCTTCCTCTGTTTCTCTTTTCCTTTCTTCAATTATTGATATCGTATTTACTTTCTATTTCTTTTAGGTGCAAGCATTACAGGAGAAGATGCATGATTCGAGCTCCATGCTGCAACGAGATCTTCTCTTGTCGCCATTGTCACAACGAAGCTGCGGTATTATTTATTTATTTTAGTTTGATTTCTCTCCTACCCTTCTTGATCTGGGTGATCTTTATTTCCTCTTGTTTTTTTAATTGGACCTTTTCGAGCTCCTTTCCTGCGTTTTGCTTTTTATTTAGTTCCCTAAATTGGTCTTGGCTTTTGCTATAATTCCTTAATTACTAGATCATGTTGTGCCGTATTCTTTGTCCCTTCTTGTCTTTCTATGTTAAAACACATATAAAGTGAATCTTTTTCTGATATTTGTTCGTGCTATATTCCCTTTGTTTTATTTCATCAGAGCATGTTGAAGAACATAAGTGACCGGCACGAGCTCAATCGACATGATGTCAAGCAAGTGTGTTAATCTGTGATTCCTTCTCTTCAATTATATTAATTGTTGTTCAATATGTATTTATTTTTCGAAGTTCTCCTTAAATTATTGGATTTTGAATCAGCAGTGATGAGACAAATGGGGTTTGTATTGATGTTTTCAGGTCATATGTTCTGTTTGTGACACAGAGCAGCCGGTATGCTTTCACATTTCCACTGTAAAGCTTCTTGTCTTGATTTTCGATCTCCTTTTTGTAACTAAAAATCAAATTCACTTATATGCCAGGTTGCTCAAGTTTGTACGAACTGTGGTGTCAATATGGGGGAATATTTCTGCGGACTCTGCAAATTCTATGACGATGATGTAAACTTACCTTCTGAAATTGAATTATTAATTTTGATGTACTGAAAAAATGAAATCTTTCTTTTGCCTTTTGTAATATTTGCTCTGTTACTTATATTTAATCTCTTCTACATTAGAATTACTTGAATGTAATGTTTATGATCCATAGTTAATATTAATATATATATATTTGAAAGAGAATAGTAAATATTAATAGTTGACTTTAGCTTTTGGTTATCTATGCAGACCGACAAAGGACAGTTCCATTGTGATGATTGTGGGATCTGTAGGTGAGTGACTTAGTTTTTGCTTACCTTTAAAAAGTTTCTTTGTCTCCTAAATATTCTTGATGAATTTGTGAGGCTAAATCCCTGCGTCTGTTGTAATTTAAAACAGAATTGGTGGTCGCGAGAACTATTTTCACTGCAAGAAGTGTGGTATGCAATAGCTGTCTTTTGCTTTGCTGTTCATGCTTCTCAATCGTATGACTTCCATTAGATTTGTGCAGCTTGCAATCAATTGCAATATGATTTTTATTTATTCCTTTTGGGGGCATTGAAGCTCTTGTTGCTAGTATATTGCTATTTTACTATAGATTTCATCCATACATGATATGCTTTTAGTTCCTTTCACCAGAATATCCAGCATACTAACAATGTTTAATAATGTGCAGGTTCTTGTTATGCAATCAGCCTACGTGGTAATCATTCATGTGTGGAGAACTCTATGCGCCACCACTGCCCAATATGTTATGAGGTCTTTATTATGATTGATTATTGAGTGGACAATTAAAACTTTTTGTGATGTAATGACACCTCCTACAATGTACTTCTGCAGTACTTATTTGACTCACTAAAAGACACTTCTGTGATGAAATGTGGGCACACAATGCATTTCGAATGTTATGTTGAGATGATAAACCGTGACAAGTGAGCTCCCATAAGTTCTTTACTTTTGCTTTTAGGCTTTGAAAGTCGAAATTTGGCTTTGACTTATATTGTATCATCGTCCAGATATTGTTGTCCCATATGCTCCAAATCAGTGATTGACATGTCTAAAACATGGAAGAGAATAGACGAAGAGGTAGGCTTATTAACTAAAGCTCACTAGATAATGGATGCTTGCCATATGAAACTTTCAATAATTTGCATGTTCTGTATTTTTTTATTTTTTTTGTTCATTGAAATTATCCAATTGACAATTCTACATTAATAGTAACATAATTCTTATTGTTGTCTATCATATTCTCAGATAGAAGCAACCATCATGCCTGAGGATTATCGCTACAAGAAGGTGCTTATCTCCGTCCTTCTTAACCTGGTTTACATATCTATTCCAGTTATTTGAGCATAATGTTTATTTTGGCGCGCTAGATGATGTGCTACCAAGATTTAATGTGATTTTGGTGATAATGTTTATTCTATGCATCAATATGACATAAAGGGGATAAAAAGAGGATTATTTTGTATTAAGGGTGGGATTATACATTAAAGATAAGTATGCAATTAAAAGAACAAAAGAAAAAAAAAAAAAAAGAACTGTCTAGTAATATCATTATATCCATCACTTGTTGGTTTTGTACTTCTGCTTGAGTAAAACCTGATATGGAGATTTAGCAGATGCCCTGTCATATGTCTTCTATGTCTGAATCAAGAAGCATAATTAGTCTTTTCAGGTAACTTCCTCTTGAAAAATCTCTAAAAAGCAAAGGGCTATTTGCAGGTTTGGATCCTATGTAATGACTGTAATGACACAACTGAAGTCTACTTCCACATAATTGGGCAGAAATGTACCCACTGCAAATCATACAATACTCGCACGATTGCACCTCCTGTTCTTCCTCAATGAGAGAGTTATGGTTCTGGGACAATATCCAGCCATATGAGAATATTGAAAGCTTGGCATCCTGAGTATAAAACAGAGAGGGTACATTTTATTGCAGCTCAAGCATTTTCAATGATTATTACTTATTAATCGATTCTGTACCATTACTATATGATTATACTGTAGCAATTGCATTTGTGCCTCAGAAACCTTCCCTGAGGCTATTCTTGCCACAATTTATAGGTTAAAACCCAGTTTTTTGTTTCAAAAAGGAAAAAAGTTCTCTGGGTTGATGTAAACATTACATACACAGCTATCCATAGGAATGTTATTTCCTTGTTATGGACTCCAATGATTCTGTTATCAAAAGATTGTATTGAATAACTTGTTGGCTGTCTTATTTTCTGATATTCACTTAGGGTTTGTTTGTTTCTGAAAAAATAAGTTGGAAAATATTGTTTGGGGCATTAAAAGAAAATAATTTAACAGCAAAGAGATCAAAGGAAAATAAGTTAAAAGACGGGGGAAAACAACTTCTTGTTTTTGGATTGGAAAACATTTTCCATAAGTCATGTGATTTCTAAACGTGGAGTACATCATATACAAACATTTATAAAATATGTGTAAACCGGGTCTATGACCTTATCTATATATTAAACTAATGAAGATACAATTTTTTTTTTTTCAAACATTGAAAAAATAATATATTTTCTGAAAATATTTTTTAAAAATTTTCCATGAAATAAAGGGAGTCCAGTAAAATGGTGTTCATGGATGGAGATCTTTAAGCTAAAAACCTAAAATGACGTTGACAAAAATTAATGAATTATGCCCTATTCTAATCGTCGTTCGTCTTCGTTTTATGCCTGAGGTTTTGGATAACAAAAAACGAGGAATTCGTCTCTTGGTGAACGAAACTATTTCTTAAGTAGTTGTTTTGTCGTTCAACAAAAAGGTAATTGCCGTCATTTGAAAATGATCAGTCGTTTGGTTTTCGTTGAATGGTCGCTTTTGCCAAAAAAACTACGATTCTTGAATCTGTGACTATGCCTAAAATAGCCCTTTTGTCGTTCGGTAGTCGGCCAACCGAAGAATGCGGACCGTTAAGAGAAGCCCATCAAAAGACACGCACCCAAGTGGGATAATTAGTAAAAAATTTAAACAACAGCGGTGAGGTGGAAATTTGGAAATTGGCAAACGCAAGTGCAGGGAGTAACGGTGGGCCGCCATTCTACGTTACACCCTCCTTTCTCCCCTTCCTAAACCCTGACCAGTTTCGGTTACCGGCCGATTACGTTCAGTGATAACTCTGCTATTCAAAGCTATGCAAGTCCTCTCAAACGCGCGTCGACTCGCTAGAGTTTTGAACCTTCAGGTTCTCCTCAACTCAGCGGTGGATCACAAATTGCTACTCTCCAAGGTTCAAATCGGCCTTTCTCAAACTCATCATCGATGGCGAACCAGCAACTCTGTAACTTCCCGTTCGTTCCACTTCTTTTATGGTACTCGAAAACAATTGCTTTTTCCTCATTTGCTATTTGGTGCTTTGTTTGTTTGCTGAGAAATTTAGGGAAACAAGAGAAAAGAGTAAATAAAATGGATGGAAAATGTTAAATTAAGCTGAATAGTTAAGTAATTCATGAGATTTTTTTCCAGTGAATTATTTTGTGTTTAAATATACTGAATTTAACATGTATTTTTCAAGACAATTATTTGCAAACGGCTCCTCAATCAATGTGCTCAAGCACAGGAAAAGCACCATTTTCTACTGAAGCTGCTAGTGATGAGAGCAATCCAACAGGTTCTTGTTGTATTGTGCAGTAATTTTTCCCCTTTTCTTAGAAAAAAGAGTCCCAATTGGTGATAGATGCTTTTTCTTGTTTAATGCAGAGGCTGTGAAGGAGCTTTATGATAAAATTCTTGAATCTGTAAATGTTAAACGTTCAATGGCTCCAAATGCTTGGTTATGGTCATTGCTAGAAAACTGTAAAAATCATGAGGATATTAAGCTTCTATTCAACACTTTAGAGAATCTCCGAAGATTTGTTAGTATCTCATAGCTTTTTACATTATTGTGCTTTTCCTCCTTAGCAACTTACTATTAATGAGTTTAATGCTGGTGCTTCGAAGTTTGAATACTCTGGCTTTATTATGCAGCGGCTGTCAAATCTTCGTATACACTCCAATTTTAATTGCCATCTTTGTCGTGAAGTTACAAAAGCATGTACTCGAGCCGGGGCCATTGACTTTGGTGTGTATTTGTGAAAACACATTCGCCATTCTTTCTTTTTATTTAAACTATTGAATTGGCTTTAATTATTTTATGCAAACAATCAAGAAATATCTGGCAAAAGTGCTGGTGCTGTGTTTTATGGTGTTTGGACTTCTGCACTTACAAAGAATTTTTGATAAAGCAATGTGTAGTGTGTAGTTATATGAAATTATGTTTTTAAAATGCAGGAAAGAAGGCCCTGTGGAAGCATAATGTGTATGGATTGACCCCTAACATTGGATCTGCCAACCATTTGCTGGTATATGATGCTTTGATTCTTCAACTAGGTTATGGATTTTCTAGTGCTTTGTATTTTTGTAAATATTAAATGCTTGCTGTAAGTGGAATTTGCAGTCATATGCTATGGAACGCAATGATGTAAATTTCATGATTGAAGTGATGAAACTTGTGAAAAAGAATAACATCCCGTTACAACCTAGTACAGCAGATATTGTTTTCAGGTACATCAACCTAGAGTTCTGATGTCTTTTATTATTCTTCTTTACTTTGCTAACAATTTTCACTGCTTGATTTCGTAACATAAGTTCTTTTAGATTTGTACTCAAATTGAACATTCTAGATTTCCTCAGGAAATTATAACGAATCGTTATATCCAGCTGAGTTGGCAACTCATAGCACCCTTGAATTTGAAATCTTTCACTGCTTCATATGTCTTGGTTATGATTTGATATGTGTAGGGTTATTGGCTGTATGGCTGTGATTGCTTTTGTAATTTTTTTTTTTTTTTTTTTCTGTATGGCCTGTGGATTGCTTTTGTAATCTTTTTTTTTTTTTCGAAACATCACTACGATCAGACATTGTATACATCTCGCATTTAGAAGCATGACTGCCTATATTCGAGTAGTGATTTATTCTAACCCCATCACACTGGCCTCACATATGCAATTAATATAGTTGGGAAAAGCTCTTTGGAAAAAACACGACACTAGATCCAACAAACTGGCCTCAGTCCTTTTTGAAGGCTAATCCTTAATGATCGCAGGCCGATTACACTGGTCACTGAAGTTCTCACCAATTAGGTCACATAACAGCTTGGATTTCCTTACACCTACACAATATTCTGTTATCAAACGTTCCTTATAATTGCCCCTTCCCCGAGCAAAAATCCTAGACACCACTCTTGAGAAGATGAGTGTGATTAAATTTTTTTTTTTTTTTTTGGAGTATTACCTGAGCATGTATATCATCTGATTAGAAGTGATTTTATATGATGTTTTGATTCTGATACCTCAACTGGCTCAACATATCATTTAATTAGTTGGAAAGCTCTTTGGAAAAACACGACACTAGATCCAAAACTGGCTCAGTCCTTTTGAAGTCTTAGATCTTTGATCTGCATGCATACAATTGGTCTATGAAGTTCTCATATCACATAGAATCTGGATTTTCTTCAACTAAAATATTCTGTTATCAAAAGATTCTTATATTGCCTTGCGAGAAATTAGAACCACTTTGAGAATGAGTGTGATTTTAATATTGGAGTAAACATTTGCAGTATTTGTTATAATGTTGGCAATTGGGAACTGATCTCAAAGTATTCAAAGAGGTTTCTCAAGGCAGGAGTACAATTGCGAAAAACTGCTTTTGATGCATGGATGGATTTTGCTGTCAAAAGAGGTGTGTTTAAGTTCTTAATTCTCTATTTTTTTCATTATCATTTCAAGGTATATTTATGTTTGATATCCATTTTCCATCTCATAAACTGTGCCAATAATGGCTGTTGTTTGGATTAGGTTTTGAATATTGAATCCTTCTTAAAAAATTTCAGAAAGGAAATAGGTTTTAGTGGTGCTTTCTATGTTGCGTTATCTCGCATATTTCTATTGTAGATCGATTTTTTTCTGATTAATCTTGAATTGTACCCTTCTTTCTTCCCTTTATATTTGTGTCTTGCTGTTAATTGATCTGAGTCCAAGGCTGGGGAGGTTGATAGGGAGTTTCCCGTGGTCTAAGGTTTCAAGGCTTAATTCAATAAGAATAGCAGTGTCTGGATCCTGTTTACTCAAGCTCTGGACTAGAGATTTTTTTAACTTTTTTATTGAATAATTGGCCAATAATGGAGATCTATTCATCCAAACCATTTCCTTTTGTACTTTTGGTGGGAGAAACGTGCACATGCAGTCATGCCTCCACAGATGCTTATTTGTAATGTTGAAACAAAAATTAATTCAAATTGTGAGGACAATGTAACCATGTGAAAGAAAGTTTTATAGTACCTATGGACGTAATAGGTTTCACTTGAAAAGAGAACATTCTCTTATGCCTGGAACCAATTCATTTCTTTTTGTAATGTAGCATCTGAAGTTTCTCATTTATAGGTGATACAGAGTCATTATGGAGAATTGAGAAGTTGAGGTCTCAGTCAATGCCGCAGCACACCCTTGTGAGCGGGTTTTCATGTGCCAAGGTAATCAATCTTGTGTCATCCAGTTGCCTGTTATGGTCTTCATTGTAAATTGATTTGGTAAATTTATGCACTTGAGATGAGAGAATTTTTAAGTATTCAATTTGGTGGCTATTTTTACAGGGTCTTATACTGGAACATAAGATTGAGGATGCTGCTGCTGTCGTTAAAGTTCTTAGTCAGGTGCCTGTTATATTACTATCAATTGTTTATATGTAATCTATAGACTTCCCACCCAAAGCAACTCCTTATCCAGAGTATTTTAAATATTTCTTTTTTCTTTTGGAAAAGAAAGAAAAGGAGACAGGAAAAGAAAGAAAAGGAGACAGTTCAATAAATCAGTAAATTTTCTTAAATCAATTTAATCGAGTAAAAAAATTTTGAATTACCTGGTATCTACATCAAGTTTAACCAATGTCTTGGTAGCATCAGGGGAAAAACAAATATTGAAACTTGAAAGCATTGGAACAGCTGGGATGATCTGTTTATACATGTAAATTAGAATAAATGATCAGAAACATATCCATACACGTGTTCGTTTGTGAATGATATATTTCATCGAGTCCCTAAGATATGGAATCACTCTTTTGCATGCAGACTTTATCTGATGCCAAAAAGTCTGGCATCGTCGTCGAACTCGAGAAGCTAGTCAGTGAGTGGCCTTTGGATGTGGTCAAGCACCAGCCGGAGGAGAATAGGGAGGTAGGATATTTGTGAATTATTTAATGTGATTGCTTTGGAAAATGATTTCATGTTAAAATATTTGTATTTTTTTAGAATCTAAACTCACACAGTTCCTTTATGGGATTGGTCAGGCAGTAGTTGATGCATTAAAGTCCGACATACCTGCCGTGATCGGTAGTCTGTTGAACATGGGCTTAGAGGTGGATGTAAATTTGGAAAAGCTAACAATTTAAGCATAAATTCCATGTTGAAATGTCAAACCATATCAGCATGGCATTCAAAAATCCACTGGGCTCTGTGGAATCAAGGAAGAGAAGAAACGACTGTTTCAGTGTTGATCGACTATTTTGTGAGAATTAATTCAATAATCACCTTTTTGCAGAAGACAGTGTTATAGAGTCCTTAGTAACATCATTTGCTCTGTAATTGAAATATAGTGGACTACCTTTTCGATTGTTAGTCTGTCACTAAGGCAATCAGTTCTGCTGTTAAATTTTCTGCCAATCAGTTCATGTTTTATTTTTTTGAACTCGAGGATAGAATGGAGGAGCCAAATATATTTCAGATTAGCGAATTTTGATTCAAAGATTCTTACAGTTATATTGATGCGTTGCATTTTATTTCAATTTTTGATTGCTCCCACTTACATGGATTCTGGTGTTGTGTGGATCCCAATTTTATGGTGGATTAACAGAGCAGGTTCGACATATCTCTGTTTCTTGTATTTGTTTGTATAATTACGTTCCTGTTGCTGCTATGAGTGGTTTCTTGTTGTGTGATATGCTGTAAGTATTCTTTTCTTTTAAAAGCACCAAGACAGCTTAGAGCTTTAACGTGTTATTCATGGATTATAAGCAGACAATTATGTTCATCTGAAACACAACTGCAAAATTTCACCATTTTATCTCAAATCTTTTGCATAAGACGAGGAAACGAAACAAGGTAACAGACTCTAAAAGCTTCAGATATTACACAGCCAAGACAAAAGAGTTGACTTAAAAGCAGTTCATTTAGATTTCTTATGAAGGCTCAAAGCTCGAAGCATAACTAGCAAGAGAAAAGCAATGGCGGCAATAAGAGAGAGGACAATAGCAGCTACCCCTTGGTTGCAAAATCTGCCAAAAACATTGCATACTTTGTTCCATCTCACATGTGAATTCCCTTTATAACCCATTAATCCAATAGCTGTGGTTGCTCCGATGCTTGAAAATAGTAAGGCCACCATTAATAGGTCAAGAGTTATGATTATAGCCCCCATGCTTTTCTTTCCACAGAAACAGAGTAGTAGAGAGATTGCTGCATATGAGCATGCTATGGCATTTGACACCACAAAGAACCTGCCCAAATATAAAACTTTGTGTCAACTTTTTAAATGTAAAAAAGTTTTTATTACTTGAAGTGGAATGGAGGGAGTAATAACTAAATATAATTGAGTTTGGATCCAAGAAAAATGGAAAGAGGAATCAAGAAACTTACACGAAGGCAGACAAGTGATGCCACTTAGCAGTAACAGGAATGTTCAATGGTGGCAGAGAATCAACAAGTTTGATTGGGACAACTTCACTTTGCTTATTAACCCCAAGAACTATGGCAGCGGCAAGAGTAAGCACTAAGGCCACAGCTCTTAAAAACAAGAAAGTAGTAGTACTAGTAGTCCTCTCTCCTCCTCTTTCTTTAATACCTCTCTCCACACCATCCATGGCCTCGGTTTAGCTATCCTTGAAACCTACAATTTGAAAGATAGAATTGGAGAATTTGCATACAAGGGAAAGAGAAAAGAAGTAGCTTTAAATAAACATATTCAAGTAGGGGAAATGGGCAAACAAGAAATATATTTATTTTAGCAATTTTTAGGAGGGAAGTGGGATAGAGTCAAATGCATTTAAAGCAAAAGAGGTGGGCAAGTTGAAACTGATATGAAACAATAACAGAAATCATCCTAATAAAATGCAGCCATTTTGGAAGTAACTTACCACTCCCCAAAGGGCACCATATACCCATCAATTTTAGGACACATATGTCATAAAAATAGAACAGATGTGAACTTGTTGGGCCATAAATGCTTATTGGCTTTATGTCATCTTTTCCTTTTCTTAATGGTAAAAGCTTTAGTTGATTTTATTTCGAGAGAACTTAGAGACTGTACATTTTGGAGGGTTGGACAAAAAGTGAGGCAGCTTTGAATGCTTTTAGATCTTTCAAACTTCAAAGTCAGGAGAGTATCTAGAACTTGAATACTTTTGCTTGTGTGGCTTTGTTCATCGTCTTTGTTCCTATTCTATAATTGGTCAAACTTCAACAACAGATTATAGATAGGATCCTCTAATCCTATCCAGACACTCAATTTGATTTTGCAGTTCTTGTTTTTTCCTCTTTCTGCCTTTCACACATACTACATTTCTTCTTCCCCTTATAGTTGAAATCAAATAGCAGTTCTCTTCTTTTTTTTTTCTTTTTCTTTTTTTTTTTTTTTTTTTTTTTTTTTTCTTGTTTTCTTCCTCCGTTTCTGCCTTTCCACCACATACACATGTTCTTCTTCCCTGTATAGTGAACATCATAATAGCAGATTCTCTTCTTTTTTTTTCTTTTTCTTTTTTTTTTTTTTTTTTTTTTTTTTCTTAATTTTAAGGCTCATGAATAGATTCTTATATGAACAGTGACCTCTCCTTAGCCCTCAGGATTAACAATTTAAAGTTAAAAATGCAAAAACCCACTCTGCTTCTCTTAGATATCAATACCCAACTCTTACCTTATTGATCAAACCTTGTCGACGTTGGCAGTTGGCCCGAATTTCTACATCTAAAGCAATAACAACTTTATTTTATACATTTTTTAGTTTTTTTTTTTTTTTTTTTTTTTTTTTTTTTTTTTTTTTTTTTTTAATTTTAAGGCTTATGAATGTTCTTATATGAAATGACCTCTCTAGCCCTAGATTACAATTTAAAGTTAAAATGCAAAACCACTCTGCTTCTTTAGATATATACCCACACTCTTACTTATTGATCAACCTGTCGACTGTTGGCAGTTGGCCAACTTCTAATCTAAGCAATAAATTTATTTATACATTTTTTATTTTTTATTACATATTATTTCAAAATCTACTCCTTTAATTATTAATTAGAGTATAATGAATAAAGTAAAATAAAAGTGAAAGATAGAAAATTAATATAATTAAATAAAATTAACTTATTAATCAATAAAGTGTTGCTAAAAGGGAAAAAGATTTTTTTAGATCTTATGATCCGGCGGAGATTAAAAAAATAAAGAAACTACAAAATTATTACAGTAAAATTAAATTCAAATAGAAATAGAAAATATATTTAAAAATTACATAACTAAAATTAATAATAAATAAATTGACAGATCACTTAAAATTATTTCAAGAATAAAAAAGAAAAACAACTGAGAGTGAGTGCTCGAAGTTTTCCAGCTAAGCTTGTGAAAGGACCAATGACTTGTCTAGTTCAATTTCAATTTCAATGTCATTTATATTTCCGACATTTAATAACTCCAGAGTACAAATGGTTAGGATTTTGCATAGAGAGTAAGAAATAATTAATTTTTTTTAATTATAATAAAATTAAAGATAATTTAATTAAATTATTTTTTATTTCAAAAATAAAAATAATTTGTGAAATAGTTATTATATCTAATATAAATGAGAGTAATATTGAAAAAATATCATTTATTATCCTTAAAATACTTAAAACGATTTATATTTTACGATAAAAATAATCATCAAAAATTAATTTTTATTTTGCGACAGAGAAAGTACTTTATTTTTCTAACATATCCCGTAATTTTGCTAAAATAGCATGTTGGCTAAATATTAGAGCAACTTCAATGTGATTGTGGGTTGTGGCTTATATGATATAGTAAATAGAAAATGTTAACGGTGATGTGCCTATAAGTCTATTTGTGAATATTGAATTTGAAAAAAAGGCTCTCCAATATATCATAATCAGAATAGAAATTTATGATGATGTGCATTATTTTTTTTAAATTATATCTAATTAAAATAAAAGAAAATAAGTTGAGCCTGATAAAAAAAAAATTAATAGTAAAAAAATTTAAATAGTTGAGCCGCACTGTTTAATAGATATTCTGAAAATAAAAGGTACGATTCACAATATCTACTTTTTTTTTTTACACGTCAGCTTAACAATAAATAGTAGCATTGAAAAAGATATTATTATTCAACTATCTATTTTTCTGATTCGACAATTAAATAAACCATGCCGGAGTTGCTATTAATGTCTAGCCAGCTACTATTCTTTCAGCACATTTAATGTCCTTGTTCTAATTTTCCGGAATTCTCAAACGTAGAAAATTATTATAATTCCCTAAAATTCACAAACATTTGATTTTTTTTTTTTTTTTACATGCCCGCATCCAAACCAATTGTTCATATTAATTATTTAATTAATTTCCTATTTTAGTTAAAAATTAATAAATTTTTTAGTGGTACCCTTTAAAGTTTATATATATGTTCATGTTTTTATTCTAGTAGAAAATCCAACTAGATAAGACAAAATTTAAAAATACGAAAAAGAAAAAATATCTAATTTATTATTTAATTTCAGAAAATTAAGCTTTATGAAAGAAATAACAATATGAATAATAAATCCATTTGTGAATATATAATTTCTTGAGAGTTAGTGATTATAGATTTTGACTATGAGCAAGAGAAAGATAATTATGTTAAGTGATTAGGTATTTGTCACCCACTTTCATAGAAGATAAGTTTCTATACTTCAATTATAAAATTCATTATTAAATAACAAAGTTCGATTTAATTTTCTTAAATTTCGTAAAATTATAATTTTTATAAGTAAAATAAATATAACGAACGAAAAATATATTTGACCTAGCTTAGGTTGGGCACAATTTTTGCAATAGCAGATGATATGTCCAAATATAGTCTTAGTCTTCATTTTTCTTTATATGACAAAACAATAACAATTAATTATTAATTAAATGAATGAAAATAACTATAATCGTATGTTTGATTAATTTGGTTTTTCAAAAGGATAGTTTAATGTTTATCTTCTTATTGGATCAGATTGACTAATCATACAATTTAATCCTATAATCAATAATTATGAATTAATTTAAAAATTAAACTGATATTTTTTTTTATTTATAAAAATTGAATATTCTGTCAACTCAAATCTATAATAAACAATATGCCTAATTTTAAACAATTCAGATGAGAATAATAATCTCGTCTTTCATTATAATTTTCAATTGATATTTCTTCAACACCAGAAAAAGATAAACATGATATATATATATATATAAAAGCTACCGGTCATTTTGGAAGAAAGGAGGACATTTGTTTTTAAAAAGGAAGAGATCAATGGCATAAAAGAAGCAATATAGATAGTTTTTGACAGGTCTGAATTGGTCCCCCAAGCCATAGATTAGTATAAACGAAAGAGTGAAAACTTGGAAGAAGAAGAAGAAGAAGAAGAGGTATTGTTAATCATGTTCACACCAATGATTGGGACAGAAAAGCTGGAAAGCAAAACCCTGCTTTAATTTCCTGTTCACAATCAAACTTACTTGGAAAACCCTTTTCCAATTAATATTAATTTGCAAAGAATTTTCAAAGCTAGCCATCATAGCTCCAACAATCTACTTGCAATATAATAAAATTTTACAAATTGTATATGTCCAAATCATCAAATGACGTGCAGGTAACTCCAATCTAGCCATCAATATATATATAGACTCTAATATCTATCCATTAATGCCAACTCCCTGTCTTGATTAACCATATTTGCTAGTTAATTACCAACAAGCAAAGCAACCGTAGCTAGCTATGGCATCCACCGATAAGCCTGACATAGAGGCCAGCAAATCGGAAGCGTCGCTCCCGCCTCCTCCTCCTCCTCCTCCTAAACGTGTTGATTATTTTGCAGTGGATGTTGCTCTTAGGGTTTTATTGTTTGCAGCAACCCTAACTGCTGTTGTTGTCATGTCCACTGCCAAGCAAACGGAGGATGCTTCTGTGCCTGGACTGCCCTTTAGAGTGCCTGTTGAAGCCAAGTTTAATCACTCGCCGGCCTTCATGTGAGTAATATTCATGGCATTCATATCACATTTTCAAAAGAAATTATCATTCTATTGGTGTGACTTAAATTTTACGTACTATCTGCAAAATACTTTGATAAATGAGCATAGAGCTGTGAAGATTGATGACTGACTAATAAAAAGAAATAAGTAAATAACAATTATAACGATATTATTATTCTCAGCTGAAAATTTTGGTGAAAGAAAAAGAATGAATTATATTCAATTAATATACTAGTTTCAGAATTTTAATACTTGGTTTTATCTTTTTTTTTTTTTTAAATCTCTTAATTTTATTTCCCTTGTAATTAATTATTTTTAGATCATTATAATATTATTATATTCCCTCATTTGATGGAAAATTTGGTGAAAGGAGTATTAATTTTGGTGTAAACCTTTTTTTTTTTTTTGGACCGAGGGAAATTAAGAATTGTTCACAAAATTTATTAAGTTTCGTGTTTGACCATCAAAGTACATGCCATAAAGAGTAACTTTAATATTATTTTATTACACAAGCCGACGTTATTGTACGTATATGAGAAATATAATTTGATGCAATAAAAGTCCACAAATAAGACGATGACATTTTCTAATTTGATCAACAGCGTTAACCAAACGAATTAATTGATTATTTATTAGCAACTGTTTGAAAACTCTGCTTTGACAAAATCAACTATGAGATTTTCAAGCAGGAAAATAAAAATCAATTTGATAATTTAAATTGAAAAAATCACTTGCAAGAAATTGTAAATACCCTGCTTTTTTTTTTTTTTTTTTCACTGTTTGAAAAAACTCTGTTTGACAAGGAATCAAACTATGAGATTTTCAAGCAGGAAAATAAAAAAACAATTTGGAGTAATTTAAAATTGAAAAAAAATCACTGCAAAGAAATATGGTAATACCCCCCTGCTTTTTTTTTTTTTTATTTTTGGATTTTAAGAAAATTTATTAACTAAAAATAGTTTTGGTTAATTATGTTTCACGGATAACCCTCACTTTTTTTTTTTTTTTTTTGAAATTTAGAAATTATATTAATAAAAATCAGTTTGGTTAATTATTGTTTTTCACGGATAACCCTCACCTATCTTGCAGATATTTGGTAGCTGCATTATCTGTTGCTTGCCTATACAGTATCATCACAACACTCGCATCCCTTGGGGTAATCGCTAAGCCAATTTATGCAACACAATTCTTGCTCTACTACACAATTTGGGATGTGGTAAGTAATTCTTTAATTATAATTAAATAAAAAGATTCATTCTTTTTTATATTTAATTAAAGATAATTCCATTCAACGATACAGGTGCTGTTAGGAATTGTAGCGGCCGCGACGGGCACAGCCGGAGGAGTTGCATATATAGGGTTGAAGGGTAACAGCCATACTGGTTGGATAAAGATTTGCAATGTTTATGATAAATTCTGCAGGCATGTTGGAAGTGCTGTAGGCCTCTCATTGTTTGCTTCCATTCTGCTGGTTTTGCTCGTCTCGCTTTCTGTCTTTTCCCTTCACAGCCGGATCCGTACGTGAATAATACGGTTGTCTGATATGATATTGTTTTGTGTTCTTCCCCAAATTGATGAGGAATTGCTGTAATTGTGTGGAATGATTTTAATTCTAAGTAGTTCAGTGAATGGGTTGCTTGTAAATTGTAATTTCTGTATATCTCTGTAGTTTCTGTTGCTGAAATTTAGTAGTTTTATTTGTTATTATACTTTCGTTTAATTCTTATGTACATTAATTTGTTTTTGCAGTATACAATTCAAACCCAAAAAATTGTGAAAAAGATTAAACAAATTAGACCAACAACATAAACGACAAAAAGGCTATCGCCTGGTTTGTCGTTTTTATTGTTTTAGTACTTATACCTTTACTATGATAGGGTTCTGAATATGCTAAAATACATGTTTTGTGTCAACCAAAACCTGACTCTCCCGTAGCTTTAAAATGGATTCTTGGTTTTGGATTGGCAATTTGCAGTGGATAGATTTTTTTTTTTTTTCCCTTTTATCAGGTGGAACAAGGAGGCATGAACAACAAACATCAACAAGAAATGAGGGAGAATCGCTTTGATTCATAAATAGCATTCGGCTAAGATTTTGTTCTTGGAGAGGTTACTGAATGATAGTATGGAAAAGAACCAGCCTTTCTTAAATTTTTGAAGTTCATGTTTGGACATTGGCCTAATCAGATTATAGGAATAATTGTCTTCTACATAGTTTCCGAAGTCAAGCATTGATCAACACAACAATACGAAATTTACAATTTTTTTCATCTTTACAGAAGAATTTTGCACACGGTTCACATGATAGTAGCAATATAAATTTAAAGGTGTGCAAATTGCATACCTTTAAGCAAGGCCGTGTTTACAAAACTGACTCCATCTCACATTGAAATTTACACAAATCAGATCTATCAGAAGGCAACATTCAAAAGATAGTTTGTTCACCTAATTCTTGACCAGCCATTCCATCCCTTAACACCCTTTCAAAGAATTCTTCCAAAGTGTCCTTTCCATAACTTGGAGTTTTTTCAGCACTATAATCACCAGTCTCAGAATCCAAAACCAGCATACTCTCAGCTGCATAATACCTTCCAATCTTGCCAAACTCAGCAGCATCTTCCATTGAAGGAAAGATATTAGCAAGAAAATCGAGTATTCCAATAGCAAAATCCATTATCCCAATTGGCACTTTCAAGAACTTTGGTTCCTTCCCCAATAGTCTAAATAACATTTCCCCTTGTTCTAATGATGTCAATGCCTTTCCTGGCCCTCCAATTGGCAATACCTTATTAATTTTATCCTCACTCAACACACAGTCTGCAATAAATGAAGCCAAATCTGACTCACTAATTGGTTTACAAGCACACAGTTTTCCATCCCCAAACATCACATAAGGCTTTCCATCTTTAACCAATTCAACCTGACCTCCTAAGCTCTTAAAAAATGCAGTTGGCCTCACAATGCTATAACTAAATCCATTGTCCTCTTCTGCTTCTTTCATTAAATCAGCCTCAAATTTCAGTTTCGCTCGCTGAAATTCAAGTAGGGGTTTTTGCACACATATTGCAGAAAGCAATACAAAATGGTTAGCGCCATTATTTCTTCCAGCAACAAGACTATTCTTTGTTGCCTCATAATCAATTTTCCATGAATCTTTAATTCCACCAGAACGACTAGCAAGGCATGACACTACAACATCAATTGAAACACCTAAATCATTCAATGATTTATCTAAAATATCTAAATTGGTCACATCAGAGAAGCAAACATTTGCTCCTTGCAAATCATTCAAAGTGTCCTCTTTACTATTTTTACCTCTAATCCCACTCCTTTCTCTAGCAATGGCAATAACATTAAATCCTCTATTAACCAACTCTTTAACTACAAATTTTCCAATATACCCAGTTGAACCCGCCACCAAAATGTTAATATCTTTAGGGTTCTTTCTTCTAAATGAAGATTGGGTTGTTTCAACGGTTGTTGTTGAAGAAGCTGTAATGGGGTTAAGTCTGTGTCTGTTAAACTTAAAAGGTTCTGATAAAATTGGAGTAGAAGGCGATAAAGAACAAGAAAAAGAGTGTACCTGGATTTGATCGATAAACTGAGTAGAGAATCGAGTTTTGTAGCTGTAAAATTTTGGTGAATGGAGAGTGAACAAATTGGAAGAGAAACAAAGGGACATTTTTTATTTCACCTTTCAGATCAGTATTGCCTGTGTTGCTGTGGAGGAAAGTGAAACAATACTGGTGGGAATCAACGGAAATCAAGAAAAGAACAAAAAAAATGAAGGAAAATGTGAGGCAGGTAATGGAGGAAAGAAGTATTTCATGGTGGGTGTTTGCTGCTTTATCGAGTAGAATCTAATAACGATAGGTGGATAATTCATATTCGCTTGCCAGTGAAAAATATCAATATAATCCTTCGTATTTTAAATATATATCACTGAACTCCCTACTTGGTGCTTACTTATTATGAACGACATGTCGTGGAATTTTAGAATGCAACAGTTTGGTGCTTTTGACTTTTGATAGTTTGACTGCAAATTAAAATCATCTGCTTGCTTGATCATTTCATACTCCTGAGCGCGCGCCCTAGACGTTGCTAAAATTTCAACCTTTACTCCTTCGCTTATCTTGATTAAGATCAAAATCGATGCACTATGTAAGCTCGAAAGCTCAATAATTCAGTTCTAAATGAAGCAAACAGAGATGCGTAATATACAGAGCTCTCTCCCCTTCGATATTGCCCTAAAAATCGCATCACATCTTGAGGTTCAATTCTTTCTTTTCAATTTTCCCCTTTTAACTTCTATGTCGTGTTGTTTTGATGATTCAATTCTGTTTGTTCAGGTATTGGATGTGTGCGCATTGGGTTGTTGCTCTCGGTTTTGGAGTGAGCTTTGTAGGTCTGATTGCTTGTGGGAATTTCTTACCAAAGAGAGATGGCCTTCAGTTTCTTTTATCAGTGACTTTTCTCCTTGTTCGGTTCCTGTCATAAAGGTGATCTCTTTTCTATTTGTTCTTTGTAGCTTATTCATTTTATGTCAAAATGAAACAACCCCACTTATAATTTCTTATTTATAACTGTTTTAATACCTTTTGTTTTGCTTCCTAAATTGGTAAGTAATATAATGATTTAGGGATGGAGGGAGATTTATATAAAAATGCATAGAGAGATGGCAGGTAAAGCTACTACCGTGATTGAGTTTGTAGAGCATCGTTCTTTGTCTCAGTCTCTTGAGATTGGAGACTATAACAAAGCAATTCAAGATTTATGGTTGATGCGACTTGCATTTAAAGATATCCAAATGTTCCTTTTCAAACCGAACCTAAATGTGTTGCTGAACTTGGTGGGCTTGCACTACTGCATTTTCTGTCTGAAACTACCGGTAAATTCTTCTGGCACATTTTTCTAGTTTGTGTCAAAGAATTGATTGTTCTTGCTGTTCAGATGGCATGCTTTTCTGCCTTTTTAGTGATAATATCTTTAGATTTTCTTTTTCCTATGATATATAACAGTGACGAAGCTCTTTGTGATAGTCTCTGAAGAGTTAAAAATAATATATTTCTGGCTATAATCCTAAAAATTTGCAAAGCTCTGTAAACTTTTGCAGCTCTACCTAGTTTGAAGCTTGTATCGCCTCATATGCTATAACACATGTGCTTCATCTTTTTTAACCTAACCTCTAGATGGGCTAGAGTTATTTCCTACGAGCTGTTTTTAATTATCTATGCTTCTTTGCGTGGTATTTGGATGTAATAATGAGCAGGCTAGAAATGTCATGGACGCACTCCTTAGTTGCAAAATTTCAGAGCGGGAAGTGTGTGTAAATTGGTGGAAGCTTGGCAGATGGTTTTATGGCTTCCGCATGAGAGATGAGTCTCACTCTCGCAAGGTATCTTTGACGGATCTTACAACAGACAAAGGGGAAGATGTCTTAGGGGTCCTTCAACGAGGTGCCATTCATGAAGTCTTACGTGTTGAGATCTTCATCTCAAATGCTACTACTTCTCCATGGTCTTCCCAGAGTTCACACAGACAATATTAGGGATGCAGCTATGACAGAGTTATGTGAATACTGTATATACTCTCAATGGCAAAAGATTCTGCTGCTGCTTCTACAAGGTAGCATTCTCTGGCAATAATAGGTTTATGTATATAGCGATTGTTTTCTTTGCTTCTGGTCATTTGAAAAGTTGAGGCTTTATTTTAGTAATTTTACCAAATAAAGCCCAAGGAATTGATGCTGAATTTTTATTTTTTTTCCAATGTAAAAAAAATGTAAAGTTAAATAAAAACATCAGACAGTGTGGTCATTTATGTATTCTGAAATCTGTGTGTTTATTCAGATTATCTTGTCTGGCAAGATCTGGTTACTTTGTGTAGATATCCATTGGAAATTAATGTAATAGTTGAACTAAAACCTCAAGTTCAAAAGGAGAGTGATGTTCCCTTTCAACAAGAATAAAGCTGGTAAGAAATTTAAGCAATAAGAGCAAAGCAAACCAGAAACCATTAACTATTTGCATTATTAAATACATAAACAAGAAAATTACACACTTGTGCTTCGCCAATTTCTGCACATCAATAATAAATTGAAAAATACCTGAAAGGCAATGAGAACGGAGTAACAAGAAAGCGTTTGCAGAATTCTGTTAACGGCGACGATAACAACGATATACAGCATAACCACCCCTCCGTCCTCGTGGAGGGATACAGACAGCCATGATCACAAGAACAAGCACAACCAATAATAACAAAATTCCTTTAAGATCAAAACCATCATCACCAGATTCTATTATGATTTTCTTCCCCATTGCTAACAGCTCTGCCTAGAGTTTTCTTCTTGATCTATTTTTGTTCTTGTAACGAGAGAAGAAGACAATGCAAAGTTGACTTGAGAATTTATTTTATTCAGGATTTGTTAGAATCTTGCACTTAATTATAGGCCTTGAAACAACTTGCCTTTGTTTTTTCCATTTTAATATGATCAGTTCCTGCTTTTGGTAGACAAATTTTACAGTGTAAATTCATCAAAGAAGCAAAGAGAGTAATGGCCTTAAAGTTGTTAACTCTAAAAACAGGTAAGTACTTGCTCTGTTCCAAATCCACCAAGTAACAATGGTTCTTTGTTTTCTAATTAAAGCATAATGAAGCCCATTGGACCCATTTCAAACTCAAAGCTAATAAGCTAAAGCCAAATTTATGAAGAAGAAAGAAAGGATCACAATACCATATTGTTTATTGCAATCAAGAGAAGCAAGAATACAAGATTATTCTATTTCTAATCTTTATCAGAAGAAAATAAATAAAAACTTGAAATCTTTGCCCAAAACAGAGAAGAACAGAGGAAACAGGGAGCAAGTCAGCAACGATAAACAGCATAAACCCTTGGCTGCCTTGGAGGCATGCAAGCGGCCATGATAACAAGAACTAATATAATCACAATCAGAAGCCCCTTAATATCCAAGCCACCATCATCGTCTGATTCCGAGCAGCAGATCTTCCCCATAGCCTTTTCTACACGGTTTCTTGATTTCTGATCTCAAGAAAACACAGCAAGAGAAATGGAATCAAATATAAGTTAGTTGGAAGTAGTAAATCTGGTTCCAAAGTCAGCTTGACTTGGAATTATTTAATTTACAATGTGATGTAAGATCCTGCATGTTCCCACTTGCCTCGCTAAAATATGTGATGCAAACTATATCTAGGCGAAGTTTATCTGTAAGATAAATCTGAAATCCCCCAATTAAAAGAAAATTTACATTCAGCCCTTTTTATTAATTCTAATAGTAAATAAAGTTGATTCGTGATCCAATGCCGGCTAAATATAATAATATATAACACAGGTTAAATAACATCAAATGCCAATAAATTTGTGATTATAAGAACATTGAACATTGCGTCAAATATGGCATTGGCCTGCACATCACATGCCCTTGATTTCCGAGGGAAACAAGGGAGAGTTAATGCAGTTTACAGAGCAGTATATAGTATTATTTAGTACTAAACAAGTGTGCTATGTTCATTGTCTCCAAGCAATTGTTCACTTTCCAACTGCAATGGCGTTCTAACTCATATCAAGCATGTTCAAGATGTCATCAAAACAAATTGAATCTACAGATACATATATCTAATTGAATCAAATGCAAAATCACTCCAAATAAGCTAATTGTCTCCAATATGTCCCCTCTACAATACTTCAGTTAACAGAAGAACAAATCCAAAAGAACTCAATAGCTCCATCTCTTTGATTCACTTGAGTCGGTTCTTGTCCATCTTTTATACTTTGTATCACTGTGGAAGACATTACAGTTGGTCGGATAATCCAAGAAAGTGAGCAAAGCTGGGGTATTTTGGCTCCCATCCTACTTCCTCTCGAGTTTTAGAGTTGTTTAGTCTCTTGCCTAAAGGATCACTGGTTCCTGAATTTACAAAGACTAGCAATGTGTGAATTTCTGACGATCAAATAACAAAAAGGAACGAGAAAAACATAAAAGTTCCTCATCCAAATTAGGAGGATAGATGAAGTAGAAACTAGTAAGAAGTCAAAATTAACAATCAGAGATAGGTTTATCACCCACTAGAAAGGAGGCCTACCAGTAAAGCCTTCAAACTTTTTACTGAATTTCCCACTCTTAGCAACCAAATCCATCACCTCCTGCCTGCAGAGAGAGAGGGACAGAGAGAGAGACTTACAGGATGGCTACTTTATTATGAAATATCACAAGTTTATTTAAGAACTCCTTGAAAACTCAATAAGGTCACTATCGACAGTAATATACCGGGATAATGGATGATTATCACAACCCAAGAAAATTTGGCCACGGAATTTCTTTTTCAAGATTGCAATAGAGAGAGAAGCTGCGTCCTGTCAGAATAGAAACCGGACCAAAACACATTTCATTACTTTATGCCACTAACGAAAATTGTAAGCGAAATTCACTCAAAACTGCAAGGAAAACTGACGGCCTTCAATGATGCAGAAATACCACCTAAAGCATGATAAGCAAACAAACAATGAAACTTCTTATTTAACACAGAAAGCAAATGACAGGAAACTGACATACAAGAACTGGGAAACAAAAACTGACCACAATTCAGGATGCATAGGTTATAAATTCAAAAGAATTAAGTATTCACCTCATAATGTATAAGATTTAAGATGTGATCTGGACGAACTTCAACAGTCCCCTTCTCTAGCCAGTAAACATGCGCACCTCTATCTGCTTTGTAGGGCCAATTAATTAAGGTTTTACTGATTACAGAGCTAATATCAAATCCCAAGGAATCTGCCTACAATTTCCCTTCCAAACAGTACATGAAACCCTCATAATTCAAGTCTAAGAAAGGATATGTAAAGCCCTGCCAATCTTAGTACACAGCCATTGCTCTCCAGCACTACTTTTTCTGCATTTAGAAGCACATCAGTCCTTGGACTTCTCCCAATCGGCACTGCAGGAGAGTCCTGAGTGGAAACAGATTGAAATTTTATGAAAAAAGAAAACACATTTATATTGCATGAACTCCACTGATCCAGTTGAAAGTATATATTTACAAGATAAATACGATATCTGATATAACTAGGAAAAAACTCCTTTTGAAACAAAATATTCAAAGAACTATATTTTGAGTTCAGTCGCCAGCAAAATAATCAATACAAGTTGGAGGTATCACCTCATCACATTCTCCATTGTCATTGCAATCATAAGGTGCAGAACTTGATGTGAACAAGAAAGATCCTTCTCCATTCCAGCTCAAAGCAGCTTCCCTGATCAGTAAAATAAGCGTTAATGGGAAAAATATCAAGTAATTAGAATCAATCAAAGACTTCAATTTTCCTCTCTCAATATATGTGATGACTCGTCAGCTCCTTATCTATAACTATGGGCCATTACTTTATGATGCGCAAGCATCTATAAGTCTTTTTATGAACTTGAATCCACAACATAATTGCATATTCTACTGTGAAATTACATTTCTCATTATAAATCCATCCCATTCACCAGTTCATAAACAATGATTTCTGTGTTTATTACCTGATATCACCAGGGTAGTCAGAGGATCGCGATGGAGGTGCACAGAAAATGACATAAGGAAACTGATGACTTGGTTTAGTTCCCTTCACTGATGGATTGATCCCCATTTTTATCAAATCTTCGTGGTGGTCCGTGGTCATTGTCTGCCCATAAACTTTACAGCCCGGATATTCCTGCTCAACAATACATGAATATAAAATATACTCTCTAAACCAATAGCACTAGCCTCTTCTCAACTATCAAGTACATTAATCCCAAAAGAATGGCACAGTGCCCATATATAAGCCTGAAGAACCAAAAGGAAATCAAAGCCCCGAGCTTGATTAACTACAATAACACACCAATAACTAAATTTCCGTTGACTACCTGGCGCCATTTCTCAGCAACCAAGCGACCAAGAACACCTGGGCCGACAATCAGCAGATCATTCTCCCCGACGAGACCAGAAGATGCAGACTGCAATTTCTCACTCGAAGAACCTTCAGCAACCAAATTAATCAAAAAAATAATAATAATAAAAAAAGAAAAAAGCAAACTTTATTAAGCAATGTGGGTGTTGTTGAATTATTCGTTAAATGGTTGACCACTTTGGACAGTATCCAGTCTGTATTATTCGTTAAATGATTATGATGTACAAAGCGTACTCTATCTACTGCCAAAAAAAATAAATTAAGTAATCACGAATTGAACTACTGTAGACAGACAGAACCATACCAATCATAGAAGATGCAGAAACTTGAAATGGGTTGGCCATTGGCGAAGAAGATATGGAAGATGGCGATAAAGTTAGTCTGGCTTTGACTGTTTTGACAAGTGGGTTCTCGAACAAGGAGAGCGAAATCGGTGTCGAGCGATTTGGCCGAGGAAGCCTCGAGTAATGGTCAACTGCTACAAGGCTAGTAGGTTCAAGCGATTTGCAACAGCACCAAGAAATGGTTCCCATACGGGTGATTATTATGAATATGGGTTCTTCAGGTTTCTCGAACCGGGAGCGAGCTTTTTTGTTTTTTATTTCCCATCTTTATTAGGTGCTTTTTGCTCTTTTTTTGGTTGCAGAGGATTTGTGGGGTTCGCTATGGCGGATTTTCGATCCTCCAATCATTGCATTACAAGTGGCTTGATGGTGGATGTTAGCTGCTTGCTTCGAAAATCATTGGACCGTCGATTTGCTGGCACGTTTCTAACGGGCAATCGCATATGGGCTATGGCTACTTTATGCAACGACGACGTTTCAGCGAATATTAGCTGACCAACGCCGTTTTGATGGGTAGCCACACGTGTTTATCCACTTCGTCTTTTTCTCATTGTGAAACAACAAAAATTATTTTCACCTCGAGAAGAATTGGTTCACGGATTTAGTTGTGACAAACAGGATGGGCTTTTTTTTTTTTTTTAAGTCGATGAATTCCTTTTTCTTTTATTAGTATTCTAAAAAAAAATTGTAAAAAAAAATTTATCAATATTTTCTTAAATTATAATTATACTTTTTTAAAAAAATTTTGATGCCAAAATTATATCGAAACTGCTATTAAAGCAAATTGATTTACTACCGATTTTAGTTCCTCCATTTAAAATATTTAAATTGTCGGTTTATCGAACAATTTATACTTTTTATTTTTTGAAAAACAGCCCATGTTCAACATATTTTTTAAACTTCATTAGTTATTGTTCAATTTTCAGTTGGAAATTTTAAAATTTAAGAATTAATTTCTGAATATATAAAATTAAATTGGAGATAAGTTCTTATACTTATTTAGTTGAATTTAATTTATCAAAACTTTCTAAAAATGAAGATAAAAAAAGAATGATTTATTTTAAGAATTATTTTATTGAGTTTATAATAAAATCAATAATTCATTGCCATGAATGATGAGTGAGAGCATATACTAATACGTAGATCGATGTATTTTAATACATTTCTTGGGGAATAATAGTACTCAAATACTAAAATTATAGGTTAAAATAGCAAAATTATGCTTGAATTAGTTTTTAAGACAAGACCAACATCTATTGTTAGGTTGATTGCTTGGTTAGCTTTCAAGGGCCTCCAAAGCCTTTATGTTCTAATTACTTCATATGATTTTTGCATAGAATGACGTGGCATTTTTCCCCTTTTCAAAAATTGATGTGTAAATAATTTTAACAATAAATAAAAAAATAAAATAAATTCAATTTAAATTAATTTGATTATTGGCTAAAACTTCAACTTAAAATTATTCATTATTCTAATTTTGGGCATTTTAGGTAAATTTTACTTGTAATGTCATAAATTTAAAATTTAAAATTGTTACTGTTGGAAGAGTTTCGATATAATAATAAAAGACACATGTCTAAATTAACAATAATATTATTATTATTATTAATGTCAACCAGGCGATGTGAGAAGTGAAAGGTATTCAGTCCGAGTCTTCTCATTAATAATGCTATACCAAATTGTATAGCCTATTATATTATTTCGATCCATTAAATATTCTAATGAATATTATTATTATTATTATTATTATTTATGATAAATGTCCAACACAGGCGCATGTATGAGAAAGTAAAGGTATTCAAGTCCGATCTTCTCCCATTAATAATGCTATAAAACCAAAAAATCTGTAATAGTTTATATGTTCGAGTCCATTTAATATTCATAAATGAATATATATTTTATTATTAATTATTATATTCAATTATTATTATTATTAAAAATTGAAGTTATATTCTGTTTGTGGTTTAACAAATGCTTAACCTAACCCTAAAACAACTTCAATTCGATGTCCGTTAGGCAATAGTCTTTAGTAATGTTTGCAATTAGAGCACTAGACAAAGAAAAAGAAGTGATTAGCTATAGTTCTGTTGAATTATTATTTTTATTACACTTGTTTTTCCAATGCTATAAGACACCAACACAAGCTAGTCCCCATTTGTCCTTTCACCACATTCAACTGAATTGTACCGTTTCAATGACTTTAAATCTAAACATTATTTTAAAAAAAATTTAAATTCAATAAATAATTGAAATTTATCGGCAATAGACATCTTCCATCTTATAATTAATAACTCATCAATACCTTTTAAACACTAAAATAAGACAACTAAAAATAAAAATCCAAATAATAATTTTGTGTTTTTCACTTGACCAAACATTGAATTAATTGACGTTTTAAAATAACTTACCAAATAAAATATTTTTTGTTATTTATAAAATTTCTTAAAATTTTGACTAAAACGTAAAGCGGTTTAGTTTTAAAATATGACATTTGATCAAAATATAGTTCCAAAACAAATAATCTAATTCTAAATTGAATTGAATTGGATTAAGCCAAAGACATCTGTCTATTTAATAAAATATTAATAAGAGTGAGTGTGTATCTTTTATTATTTATTTTTCTTAACCATTAATACTATAAAAAATTTTAAAACAAATTACAAAAATCACTTATCTTATCTTCTTCTAACTTTCACCAACTTGTATAAAATATTTAAAAAGCAAATTTCCAATAGTTTCTGGCTTGCAGTTTTTTAAACAATTTTTGTTTTAAATGATGAGAGTATATTAAACAATCAAACGCATAATAATTAGCAATCCCTTAAAAATAGTAATCCTTTAGGTTGTCTTTATATCACAATGGTAATCTTTAAGGAGCATTAGATCCCTCTAATACAAAAGATAAAAATGTTCCTAGTTATTGTGAATAGAAGAGAAAATCTTCTACTAAGGATATTTCTTCATCTTCCGTGATGTAAACGCAACGTGGAAGCAATAATTAAACTTGAGCCAACGTGTTAATTACAACTACAGCTCCCTGCACAGACCGTTTAAATTTTTACCAATATTGAAACCACCGAAATTTAGCTATGAAAATGCACGGTTACGCGGTTCCGAACTGTTCCAGATAAACTAAGTTCAAATGACCGACGTTTGATCTATGGTTTTCCGGCGATACAAAGTTATTAAAAAAAATCAGATTTCCAATGTTACATTATTCTTAAAACAATGTTAATTTTGAACTTAAATAAACAATTTAAAAGGGGAAAAAAAAGTATTAAAAACAATATAATTTTAAGGCTATTTTACTTTTTTTTTTTTTACCATTTACTATTAAAAATTTTTAACTTTTCAAGAAGGTTGTATTTGGAAAAACAATGCTCAAAGTAAAAAAATTAATCATGTATGAAAATATCTTTG